ATTTATTGAGCGATACGGGTTATGATTTTGGAAGATAACAATCAAAAGAGACAATTAAAAAAAATATTATGTTACTATTCACGATTTTTGTAGGCTAATAATGTTGACCCTCCTTAGAGAATTCCTAGCTACGCCACTGACCAAGTTAGTGAAAATTTTAATTAAATAACTCAAGTGAATAAGGAAAAACTTTTGTTATAGATGTAATATTGCGTGATTGTGTTATGTATATATAAAGTCTAAAATTCATCATTTTGAGTTTAAAAATTAGTTATTAATTCGTACTCGATATGAATACTAAAAATAACACAACTCAAATACGAGATACTTGTAACAACATAATACTCTATTAAGACCATCGATGCTTAATAACATGTGATACATGCAATTGAATACATGGATGATGAACATAGTTGCATGTCCATGACAAGGTGAACTGTGTTGCAACTTTGCAACCCAAAAGTTTAAAAAAGATGTTTTAACGTTAACGTTCATGTATATTAGGTTGAGTGTGTGATTTATATAAATTTGAGTGTCTTAATTTTTAAATGTTCCAAAAAGCAAGCTTAGAAAACGACCCAAAAGAAAGAGTTGGTGGGTGGTAGGCGAAGTGCCTAATAATTGAACCTCACTCGACCACACCAACGATGTCTCTCTAGCTAGATCATGCCAATAACATATACTTCCATGATCTTTTCATTGCCATTTTTTTTCTTTTTTTTTCTTTCTTCTTTTCTGGCATATGCATTTTGAGACACATGGCATTCTATGCAAATAATTAAGGATTATGTCAAATACAAGTACCATCAATCTCATTCAGGCAACATATCTAGCTAGCTTTACCAAACCCAACAAAAAAAAAAAAAAAAAAGAAAAAAAGGTATAGCTATGTCAAAAGAAAGGAGGGAGGGGTGTGTTTAAAAAAAAAACAAACTTTGTAGTGCTTTTTAATCTTTCACAATTAGCATGTGCATTAGTGAGAAAGCAAGTCTTTAACTTGGTGCTACATTGGCAGCTAATTTACTTTGAGTTGCAAAAATAATTATTGGGAAGCAAACTTAGGGCAACTGGAAAAGTTGTCGTACGCATTGCTTTTTTTTCCCTTTTGCTTCAGAATTATTATTGTTCATGCTTGAAGAGAGACTTTATAGGTCATATGCTTTGCTTTTTGGCCACTTAGAATGAGAGTTGTTTTGTTTTGCGTCCAAAGCCATAACTTGTGTTGCCCTAAATGTATGGTGCTCATCCACAGAATTAGATTAGGAGAATTCTACTGGTATTGGGCACCAAAAGTCTAGCTGTTGGGGTTTGAGGTGGCAATTCCTAACTCAATACCTCTGACCTCAATAATTCTGTACACCACCAATTTGATTATCCAAACCAAGCTCCAGCAGAATGTACGATATGTACAGCCCATTTAAGCTCAAAAATGGTATTGGATAGGATGAGTGGATTATGGATAAATAATCCAACAATTTAAAAAAAAAAAATATATATATATATATATATATATATATACAGTTAGAGTCTCCTATACAAACGTTATTATCGTGCAAACATCATTGTAAACATGGAGGGGTAGTAGAAAATACATGATTTCTGTATGTGGATGATAATAACGTTCGAACAGTTTGTTTTTGAGGTGTTAACCCACTTTTTTTCACCAGAATAATTACATCCAAACATCCGCATAAGAGAAAATCTATATTATATCATAGGATAAAGAGGCTTAAATCAATCCTCCTGTGTCTTTCTTATTAAGGAAAAGTGGCCTAGCTAGACAGAGATTCTAGTGCATATTATAGGGCCCTTAATTGGATCTTATCTTATATGTTTTGGACTAAAAACTTTATTATATGCCTTCATATCATACGACCTAAAATTTCCTTTAAATGACTTCCCAGCAAATAGGAGCACGATCTCCAGCACTGACAAATTAAAATATGACCATTCAATTCAATTAGATATACCTAACAATAATAGATTTGGACATGTAGAATCTGGATTAGGAGAATAAAATATACCACTATTGGATAAAATGTGAATCAACATCATGAGACTTATCAACATAACCCAACCCTTCGTATTGTTGTTCCAGATATATGCTTACCTTTCAAAGGGGTGCAACTTGGATGAGTTCAACATGAACTCAACTCAAAATTTGAATGGGCTATAAGTGAGTTAGAGAAAGCATGCTCTAGCTATAAGCATGGGTTGATAGATTAGCATTCAACCCATACTCGATCAATCGAAACCTTATAACTGTAACTTGTAGACATATACATAAGATTGTATACATATTCTATTTTAAAAAATAATATCAAAAGTCAAATAATAGATATTTAAGTTGAGAAATATTAAATAATAGTTCATCTCATACTCGTTTATTCTCTCCTCAATACCTTACTTTTCCGATTCATGAGACTTCTCTCATTTCAAGTAAACATGTCTGATCCAATCTCCTCATTTGGTTGCTCGCATTGGATTGGAGTTGAGTCCAAGTGAGTCCTTATGAGTCACAACTCTCTAGATGAGACTTGTAAAACATAATATGTTGGACGGTTATCCAATTTAATAAGTATAGTCCCAACATACCAAACAACGGTCATGACACTTATCTAATTTAATTGAAATAGTCTAATCTAATCCGACCCACCAAACATAGAGGAGAATGTAAGCCACAAGATGTTGGATTGTTGTCGAATTAATAAGTCCAAAACAAACATTTATAAGTAGTTTTTTGGGTGAAGAAACAACGCTAACACCCAAGCGAAAAACTAAAGAATGATTCGAGGCCTACAAACTCTGAGTAAATCTTCACTAAGAAACTAAACATTTATAAGTTTATTAAACAACGGTTAGCATATTAATCTAATTAATTGAAACAGTCCAATCCAGACCAATCCACCAACGGGGCCACATGCATATATCGAATTAAACTACATATTTCAGGTTATTTTTGGCAAATTAAACATATGGACTGAACTGTTAAGTTGAGCCCAACCCAATCATTCTAGGCAACTTGAGCTCAATCTGGCTTAACCCAAGTTGGGCTTCAGTTGACTTCATTTGTTCTTGATCAATTGACCTTGGGCCCAAACCCAAATTGGGTACATGTCTACTTGAGCTTCGACTTGTCCCAACCTGCCCAACCACCCGACTTGCCCCTCTACTCCCACCCAAAAAAGTTATATCATTCCGAATACCGAAAAAACTAAAAAAAAAGGTTCATAAACCCATACCCATACATGCTTCACCAATCAGGCTTCAATTTGTTTAGGTAAACTATTTTTTTTTAGGAGGTTAGAATGAGGGTTATAGTGAGGAGGTTCTTAATAGCCGTCTAATCCAATGCTGAGTTATTATTGGACTAAATCCTCATTGTAGCCCCTAAACATAGCTCCTCATTACATAACGCCATCCAAAATTTACTCGTCTTTCTTTTTGGTCCATTAATCACCATTTGAAAAAAAAAATGAAGATGGTGTCTTGGCCATTAGCCAAATATTGACCTTTCAACCTACAAAAAAGGGTTCAAGTCCAAAGGCATCATAATGTCTCATAGACCAAGAAAAAGTGTTATTGGGCCACTGATAATAAGGAACCGTACCAAATGGCTAAAGAATTGTAAAAAAATGAAATCGCCCACCGTGGGGCTCGAACCCACGACCACAAGGTTAAGAGCCTTGCGCTCTACCAACTGAGCTAGACGGGCTTGTTGTTCGTAACTCAACTTCCTCAGTACTAATCTGTTACCCCGCGCTCAATAGCGAAGGCCAAACCAAGCAATTAGATTAATCATTCAATCTTTAGAATTCAAGATTCCAAGATTTGAAAAACACGCCAATTAGAACAATCATATAGCTTTCTCAACGTGTCATGTCTTTGAAAAAAATTTGACGTTTAGTATATAGATAATAACCATTAGAAATTGAAGTTGCTTATAATTATATTAACACAACTTTTCTATAGTAAAAGACTATCATTCTTATGAGATTTTTTCCACATATAATCTTTTAAAAACCTATAAGAAATACTATTGTGCCGAAATATATCTCAATTTTACAATAATTATGATTCGTTTTTGTTTGTGACGACTATGATCCTTATGTAAACACATTCTCTCATATTTTCCAAAATAACCTCAATTAGTTTGATTGTAGAAAGAATCTTCGATGGACATTGCAACATGGTCTTTTGACAGTCACTGAGATAAGTTCACTTTGAATTTTGTGAGAAGTGGTTCTAAATCTCAACCCGTGGACAAATTGTGCTGCAATTCAACTACTATTATTTTCGATAAATAAATAAAAAAAACCACTATTATTTTTGCTTTTATGAAACTGACTTTTCTTAGAAGCAATTTTTTTTTTTGGTTAGAAGAATTTTGTTAGAAGCATTTGAAAATTGAAATTGAGATATTAAAAATCGTAATGTTTTGCACAAAATAATCATGACTTCAATCAGTCAACGACGAATCCATGAAAGTTCCAACATTCCAATTATTTGCAGGCACCGCGCGAGGTGGCTAGGGCAGTTTGGGAAATTCAGAATTCCATTAAGCCCTTTTTCGTCTTTGCACAACAATTGCTTTTCAATACCCTGAATAAACAAAATAAAAAACCTAAATCCGACCGTGCATTACCCTCCTCATCAACGTCCCCAATTCACCGACATGAAAAAAATAAAATAAAATAACTTTCCCAATTTCACTTTATTTCCTTTATTTTTCGAATAAAACATTTAAATATAAATTAATACCTTTCAATGCCTTCGTCTTCGCTCTTTCTCTCTCTGTGAAACTAGTCGAAGCCCTCCCTCTGAGTCTTTCTGATCTCTTCCAAACCCTAGTTTCTCTTCAACGATCACGGGCTCAGCGATTCGCGAATTGCCGATTGAACCCCAAGACTCCACATTCTTTCGACGCATTACTCAGCCAATAGTCGAGGCCTTAAACGGCGGCGCGGAGAAGACGGAGCATGAGAATCGGACGATGAACGATGCCGGTACCGCGTGGCGGAGTTCGCAGGGGACGAGGAGCAGCAGCTAATAAGCAGAAAAAGGAGAAGGTTCCTAGTCCGATCGACGCTGGAGAGGCGATAGCGACGAGAACAAGGCGGAGGCGAGCGGCGGCTGCGGCGGCAGAAGCAGTGCCGAGTAATCCGAATAACAGGAACGAGACTAATAAGGCGAAAGAAGAGGAGCACAAACGAGAGGAGGTGGTGGCGGTGGGTGATGAGCAAAACGTAGTCGTTGAGGAGGAGGAGGAGGAGGAGGAGGAGAAGGAAGTGGAAGAGAAGAAAATGGATGAGTATAGTGGCGGAGGCGGGCCCGGTGGCGCTCCGAGTAATGATAAGGCAAATGCTGGTGAAGACGAAGGAAGCACAACTCCGCTTCCTGAGAAGGTTCTATTTTTATTATTGTTTACATTACTTTTTATATTTGTAACGAAAGGATTTGGTCTTTACCGAATCCCATCGAACATGAATGCCGTTTGGTGGTCATCTGCATAATTTGGGTGCATTTATAGTATGTTGCGGGAAGTGGGATTGTGGGGCATTGGGGTTTGTTACTGTGGTTGAGTGAACATGTTTGTTTTTGTTTGATTTAGCTTTGAGGTTTCGTAAGCAGTGAATTTTATGGCTTGTGTTAACAACTTAAATGCAAATGTGCATTGTGTTCTGCCTATATAGTGTATACTTGGATAAGAATCCTCTCTCCATTTTATGAAATGGAGAGGTCTGGTTGGTAGATCATTGCCATTCATTTAGTATGGTTCTGGGAACAAGTGTTTTGGTAGATAGGCAATGTGGTGTTCTATATGTTGACATTATTGATCATAATTTTGACGACTTATCCCTTATTTGTACTGCATTTTGGCGTTTTGCCTGATTGCTCGCTTCCTTTAAATGGGCAAGAATTGAAACCTGAACTTTACCTCCTGTAACCCCTTTTGGAAACTTTGGTTGACTCTGAGAAGGTGTCTGGGCACCTCTTTCTAGATCACGTTAGCACAATTAAGTAGTGAAAACAAATTAAGTTACTGGTTGAAGTTGGAATGCAGTTATGGAGGTATTTTGTGACCTAGAAGTGTACTGCATGAGCTATTTCTTAGAATCGCATAATGTATTGATGGATACTGTATAAGCAGCATGTGTTTCTGTGTATTGACTCACATTTTTTATGATCACCATGCTGTAGTCCTTGTGTCCTGTTAGTTATAGGTATATCCCATTATATATTCTTGAATAATTGTTGTTTTAATTATTATAATAATAACGAGCAGTAGTTATAACTATAAATCTGAGAATTGCACCACTATGCTTAGTCTAACAAGTGCTGCCTCTAGAGACAACGTCCATATTTTTGTTTTTTTTTTTTTTTTTTTTTTTTTTTTTTTGATCATAAATTGATGTCTTTATGCTAATTCCTAGGTTTGGTTTGCTGCAGGTTCATGTTGGTGGTTCCCCTGTTTACAAAGTAGAACGAAAGCTGGGTAAGGGTGGCTTCGGACAAGTTTTTGTTGGTCGACGTGTTTTGAATACAAATGAGAGAACTGGCCCAGGAGCTGTAGAGGTACAACAATTTGTTAAATTTGACTGTTGAGTTTTGTTCTCTCTTTGTCTTTACCTTTTACTTTCTTTTGTCTCTCCCTTACTACACATTCTTTTCCTTGGTATCTTAGGTAGCCTTAAAATTTGAGCATAGAAATAGTAAAGGGTGTAACTATGGACCACCAGCTGAGTGGCTAGTATACAAGTGAGCATGCCTCTATCTCTCATGTTTTGGTATTGTTTTTAAATTTTATTTGTGTATCCATAATTTACTTTGTGTTGCTTGTACAGCACTCTTGGTGGCAGCCATGGTGTGCCGCGAGTACACTTTAAAGGCCAGCAAGGCGACTATTATATCATGGTATGCAGTCTTTTTTTGGCTTACTTGTTTTGAGTCTTGTTAGCCATACTATAATGTTTTGGGAGTCATAGGACATACTAGTTCATGAATAGCTTTTTGATTTTGACTGAAACTTTTATGCTGCAGGTTATGGATATGTTGGGGCCAAGCTTGTGGGATGTTTGGAATAATAACTCTCATACGTAAGTTTCAGTTACAAAATTGACTCCTAATTTAGAAAATAGTTTAATTATTATCTTACAGATTTCATGAATTTTCAGTTTCATAATTTAGTTGTCTTCTGAATTTTAGAATGACCACTGAAATGGTTGCATGCATTGCCATTGAAGCAATATCAATATTGGAGAAGATGCATTTTCGAGGGTAAGATTTTTTGTTACAAATCAATGCACATTTGTTATCATTGTCGTTGTTTATCTCTCTCTCTCTCTCTCTCTCTAGCCTTCCTTTCCCTCGCATATCATTTCACTTTGGTGCTTTGGTCTGGAACATTATTATATCCAGAAAAAACCTTTCGGCTATGTGATCGATTTCTTTAGAGAAGTTTATATGTGGGAAGTCTTAATGCGAAAGAATAAGTATGCCTATGATTCTTCTGTTGGATAGCTTGATATCATATTTAGGCTTTTCAACAATACGAGAGCACATGGCATGCACAATTTACTCTTTTCCTCTACATCATACAATTTTATTGTTTAGTTTATTAAGACATTAGGAAGCTAGTTATATAGAAAGCTTGTATGGACAATATGGTCTGTTTGGAGTTTTGATTTAGAAATTGTTTGGGACAGTTGAAGTAGTTTTGGGGGATAGTCACTGTATTTGTGTTTTGGCTATCTTATTAAATTGAATGTGTTTAGGATTAGTTCTTCAGATGTTTTTGCAGTTTGTTGAAAGCCATATAAAAATGATTTTTAAGCTATGCTACCACATCTATTTTCAGGTATGTACATGGGGATGTAAAGCCTGAGAATTTTCTGCTTGGCCCACCTGGGACTTCTGACGAGAAAAAGTTGTTTTTAGTTGATCTTGGACTAGGTATTTTGTGAATCTCAGTTTCCTTAATGTTAAGTAGTATAGTGGTTCTCAGTAAGTTATCATATTATAACTTGTTTTGGGTTTATCAGCAACTAGATGGAGAGAAACTACAACTGGTCGGCATGTAGAATATGACCAGAGGCCAGATGTTTTCAGGTATAAGCATGGTTTCCTATCTAGTTTTCTTGGATAGTTTGAATGCTGCTTTCTTTTTGCCTTCCTCTTCTTTATGCTCCCTTGTTCAAGCTTTCTGCTACTTAGTTCTGAACTTTTTTTGGTCCAACAGAGGAACAGTGCGTTATGCTAGCGTGCATGCTCATTTAGGGAGAACGGGTAGTAGGAGAGATGATCTCGAGTCTCTAGCTTACACCCTTGTATTCCTTCTTCGCGGTCGTCTGCCTTGGCAAGGATACCAGGTTTGCCCTTTCTTTCTTAGCTTAAATAAAAATTTCTGTCTTGCCTACCTTGCTTTTATTTTACTTTTAGCGTGGTGGTTCTTTCAGGGAGAGAATAAAGGGTTTCTTGTTTGCAAGAAGAAGATGTCAACATCTCCAGAGATATTGTGTTCCTTCTCTCCGCAGCCTTTTAGACAGTTTGTGGAATATGTGGTGAACTTGAAGTTTGATGAAGAACCTAATTATGCAAAATATATATCACTCTTTGACGGGATTGTTGGTCCAAATCCTGATATCAGGCCAATAAACACAGAGGGTGCACAGAAGGTATGTATCATCTTCTCTCCTTTTGTTGATGATGCTTACCCTTGAGCAGTAGTTTATGTACTTACATTTTTAGAAGAAGGATTGTGCATCTAATATATGCTCCATGTATTGTGAAGCTTATTAATCTGGCTGGTCATAAGAGAGGAAGATTGACAATGGAGGAAGATGATGAACAACCAAAGAAGAGGATTCGAATGGGTACGCCAGCAACACAATGGATTAGTGTCTATAATGCTCGCAGACCAATGAAGCAAAGGTATTTGTATGACTCAAGCAGTGAATCATTTACTTATTTGGTGATGGTTTTGGGGACTTCTCTTCTTGATAATATAATAGATATACCCTGTGTATCTTGCTTTCTATTTTTATAGTTAAATTGTTGTCTTCTTGTCGTCATATTGTTTAAACTGTTTCTTCTCATGTTTCTATAGGTATCACTATAATGTGGCTGATACAAGGCTTGCTCAGCATATTGAGAAGGGGAACGAGGATGGGTTATATATTAGCAGTGTGGCCTCTTCTCAAGATTTGTGGGCCTTAATTATGGATGCAGGCACTGATTTCACTTCCCAAGTTTACGAACTCTCACCATGTTCTCTTCACAAGGTACATGCATATGCTTTTTAATCAGCCTGAAGTGATTGTCTTCATTGGCATACTGACTTTGTTTTTATGAGAGTTTGTATGTTCACTTTGTTATTTTATTGCTAACTTTTAATAAACTGTTTGTATGTAACATTCCTTTAATTCAAATTGTAATGTTTCATGAATTTTTTGGATGTGTTTGAAGGAATGGATAATGGAGCAGTGGGAGAATAACTATTACATCAGTGCGATAGCTGGAGCTACTAATGGAAGTTCATTAGTAGTAATGTCCAAGGGTTAGTATAGTGTTTTGGGGTTTTCATGGACATTTAAACTGGAAAGGGTGTGTTTTCTTTTTGATTTTTTGAATTCTTTTATTTATTACTGATGTCAATTGTTCGGTCCAGGTACACCATTTACGCAGCAGTCATACAAAGTAAGCGATACATTTCCTTTCAAGTGGATTAACAAAAAGTGGAGGGAGGGTTTTTATGTTACTGCAATGGCCACTTCAGGAAGTAGATGGGCAGTTGTTATGTCTCGTGGTGCAGGTTATTCGGAGCAGGTAATCTTGGATGAAAAAGCACATTTCTTTCTCTTACTTGTCTTTCCAATTGCCTATGGTGGTTAGCACTTTTGATTTTATAGTAGGTAGTGAGTAATTGGAGAAGTATTTTGGCCTAATGAATTAGTGAACTGTACAGAACTATTTATTTAACAGGGCAGACCATATTTTGTTTTTCAGGTTGTTGAACTAGATTTCCTTTATCCCAGCGAAGGTATTCATCGGCGGTGGGACTCTGGATATCGTATAACAGCAACTGCAGCAACGTGGGATCAGGCTGCATTTGTTCTTAGTGTGCCAAGGAGGAAGCCTCAAGACGAAACACAAGAGACTCTTCGTACTTCTGCTTTTCCTAGTACACATGTCAAGGTAACATATATTTATCATTTTGTTTTGTCAAGTGCCTTTTCTTTTCCGTCTTTCAATATGCTGGCGTAAGAGTAACTCAAATCCGGGTATTACAGGAGAAGTGGGCGAAGAATCTCTATATTGCATCTATGTGTTATGGACGAACAGTTTCTTAAGCTGCCGAGAATTGTTTGGGATGCTCCATAAACCATCTGGTATTGCTCTGATAGCTCTTCTGATTCCCTCTCTCAACTGGGGTGTCGTAACACCCACCATTGACAAAATTTTGATGACTTGAAGATGCTCTTGTTAATTGTAATTATAGTAAGTTTTAGTGGAAACCTATTGTTCGTCTCTGTGTGGGAACTGTCACTTGATGTCAATGATAAATTAAAAGCTCATTTTCTTGCAAAAAAGGAGCATCTTGCCTATTTCTACTCCAAGGACCTTCACGTCAGAAATATTCGTATATGCTTTAACCACAACTCGAACGAACCAATCTGGCATCCTTGTCAAACGATCACTTTACCTTCAAGTTTGGAATATTGTGATGTGCTTTTGCACGTGACTAGTTTTGGGAGCGAAATTGAAACTTGGGAGTATTTATATGTAACATATATGATCACTTGAACTGCAAGGTTTTTGATGAGGAACAAAAGCCCCGAGTCTCACCGAGGCCATAATGAAGAAACCATCTAAACTTTTTGCTCTACAAAACAAAACAACCGGGCTTTGAAACTTTTTTTTCCCCGAAGATATTAACATCTACAAAACAAGAAAGAAGAGAAATAAATGAACTCGTACTAAGATTGAATGAAATATCAATAATCAATTAAGACAATGTTCTAGTAAATTATTCGAAATGAAATATCCTTTTTAAGGTAATCACACAAAGAAGCTGCTGCACTCCCGCCACTCTAGCTTTAGGTTTGAAGAAGTAGGTCAATGTCTTCTTTTAGTGTCGGAAGCAGTTGGTCAATTTCAAACAAGGAAAGCTACTCTTGCCGAAAGGCGTCTGGACAAAATTGAAAGCTGCTCTTTAGGCCTCTATATAGATTTGGGCTGAGTTGGGGGTCGGCGATTGCAAATTGATGTGATTTACAGAGGAAAGAAAGCAGGATAGAGTGCAGAAATGACAAACAAAATTGCACGCCAGATATAGAGGGGATGGCGAGAGAAAGAGAGAGTACATTTCATGAACATGAACATGCAGTCACACTGTCTGGTCAAGAATGAAAAGGAGGGGGTAGGCCTCTCTATAGGGCCGGGTGTATTGGGCTCTCTATAATACATGGACTGGGTGTATTGGGAGGATTGCATTGCAAAAGAAGATTCAGCTCAGGTTGCTAGGCCCTTGAAGCAGAACATACATTTGAACATTTCTAATCGTTTTTTTCAAAGAGTTCTGGGATGAGTTCCCAAATGATCACAAACTCTCATCTGTTAGCTATAACAAAATGAAAAGCCAACTAGCTTTTTGGTAGCTAATTCTGATGTCAAGTAAAATTGAACTCTCAAAAAATTTACAAACATCTCCGGTGCTACATTTCAATAAAGAAAAGAGAATTTCATGTCTTTATTTCTAAATAGGTCGTGTTGCTGGGTATTAGTAACAGCTGAAGTGTTTTGTGCAGGCCTGATACATAACCTCCCCAGCTGAATTTCTTCCTGGTATATTAGCACATCAATCCAGATCAGGCAACATTAAAGAGATACAATGAAGTTGAACAAAAACATGTGCACACAGAGAGATTTACCTCGGTGTTATCATGGTCAAATCGAACAACAAAGATGCACTTGCAGCCTGTTACGTCGTGTAGCCCCCTTTGGATATCCACAACATGGGCATCACAGTAGACAGCTTGATGTTCCCTTTCCTGTAAATAAGGTATTAAGTCTGAAAGATAAGACAGTACATATATCTTCGGAGAGGTTTGCCTTATCAAAAGTATGCCTTCTGCAATATTTTGAACTCCAATATCTTCTGTCAAATGTTAATTTATAGAGGTTCCCATTTGTCTGGACCCCTATACTCATGATTGACAGCTTATGGGACAGATTGCAAAGAAATAAAGTAAAAGATTACCTGGAAGCTTAGCACTAGGTCCCCAACCTTCACCTTATGACACTCAGAGGCTTCTAAAGGAATAGACCGCTCACGCACTGCTCTTGTCACATTCACCCACTCATCATCCTCCCTACCGAAGCCAGAATATCGCACCCGAACTTCCTGTCACATAGAACAACATTGAACTCCTTTTCATACATCGGACAAACATAGTAAAATCTCTCATCAAGCAGAGACAACATTTGCAAGAATATCGAACCTAGTCTTTGAAAAATTAATGCCTGGTTGAAAATGAAAATTATCATGACTGTGAATGATGCAAATAAAGCACAGAGAACAAGACATAATGGAATATTTTACTGCTTTATTCTCAAGGAACTCTAATTAGAAAAGAGACCTAAGCTAAGAACTATGTTTACACCCAAATGGAGAAGAATGAACAATAACGAAGAGGACAAATCTTACAAGTTCTCCTGAATTAACAACTCTGTAAGAGAGGAATGAAGCAACATCATACCTGGAAACCAAAGAAATGTTAAGCTATGACTTTAGTGCAATTTGAATTGAAATGATAATAAACAATGTACAAATTTTCACATTGAATTTCTATTTTATCTGCAATTATTTAATTCCCAAAACATCTTGAGTTAATTTAAAGTAACAAAATATATTAGAGAATAAAGGAGTTTCCATTCTTTAATCCACGAAAGTAAACTATTCGAAATGCAAAAAACATAACTACTTTGGCTGATTTCCTAACAAGTAAATTATGTCAGTTCATTTTTCTTCCAGTTCAAGCATAATCAGGTTTGGCAATTTTCTTCTGAACCTGAGTTTGATTGCACTGCATTAGAACTACAATCACAAGTTATGGATCTGTCTGTAGTTTATAATTTACCTTTTCCCCCAGGAAAATGGTCCAGGAGAGCTAACGCAAAACAGAAAAGATTTGTGTAATGTATATTAAATGAAGCCATTGCATTATATGCTAAAATTACTTTTATAATAAACAGGGAATATAGTCATGCCACATACCAACGAAGAATTGTTTCAAATGAAACATACAAAATCAAGTATAATTTTCAAATACTTAATATGCAGAAACACATATATTGCACTTAAGAAAAAGAAGTTTTTTTCCCTGAAAGATGAATTCTTACCATGCATCGTCTTTTGCTGATCGTGCTTCAAATGCTAACTCGTGGAGTTCTGTGATCCATTTACCTGAGTTAAAGTTATCAAGTAAATTTTTCAGAAAATTAATTATTGAACTCAGAGATAGATGGAAGATTCCCAATTCCACCAACACGCATGATTAAAATTTTGAGATTACGTGTTAAGCAATAAGCTCCTGTATCACAACTGTAAAATTCAATATTTATCATCACACAAGGACAGCATAAGCATTCTATACAACAGACAGACATGCCAAATAAATGTTGCAGGAGCACCTGCCCGTGAAAACTATGTCAGATGGTTGCCATCTAAAGAAGATAGCAGCAATAATGAGCCCAAAAGCCTGGAAAAGCGCCTTAAAATTTACGGCTGCACTATAGGCAGAGGGATAATAAGACATGTAGACACACAGCAAGAAAAGTTTTACACTAAGGTAAAAATATAGTGCATACAACTAATTAATATAAGCCAAAACAGATGTAAATTTGACCACAGATATTATCATGCTAGCAGAATCCAAGCCAATCAAGAAAGAAAGTACAGCCCCTATCAGACCAAAAGTATAGTAACTGGGTTATGGAATGGAATTTATTGCATTTCAAAAACAGTATATAATTGTGCTTCTGAGGACCCATCATAAGCGAATGTATGATTTCTGGTCCAGAAATAACATCATGTACACACGGCCAAGGATATTGCTACATGGCCAGTGGTTAAAGCTTTATGGATGTTATTAATACTGTTAGCACCAGAAATTGATCAATTAGGTCATGGACATCAAGAATGACGAAGCTTTGCCCTTCTCTGCCAAGGTAGCACTAACATGCTACAATGGTTTTTGAAAGGATCCAAGCTGATATATTCCAATATGGAATGTAAAGAAATTAACAGTAATTTGCATCATTAAATTTTATTTATGTCAATTTGATGCTAGCATAGAAATAAATCTGACTGCATGATAAAATTAAAATTTTCATCACAGGGAAAAATCATTGAGTAAAATACATTCATGACAATATTTTCTACAACTTCATCCATACTGACAAAAAGGATGACCTTTTGGCTTCTGAGAGTTTTCAGTTGCATTGCTTGAAACATTTGAATCTGAAAGATCAACAAATAACTCGAGCGCAGTAGGTGAGGAATTGCTGTTGGCTTGCAACTCTTTTTGTTTGTTCTGGAACCAACTTTGAACCTATAACAAAATAAGAACATGATAGCATTACAACAAGCTCCATATGAAATATAAACAATAAGATTTAGATGCAAGAGGGGAAAAGGAAATTAAAAGAAAAACCTGTTCCCAAGTTATATCAGGTTTTCCAGCACGGATTGGAGTGCAACTGAAAAGACAGAGCAAAGCAAAAAACTTAATAAAAGAAACCCTGTTGTGTTGAAGTATGCAATGAATATTTAACTCAAAGAAGTTATTCTTTTCGTTTTTTCCTTTGAGAAGTAAATATAACAAATCTGCCTACCTAATTAAGGCTATAGGCTACTATTTAGCATTACTGAATTCACCTGAAACTCGTTGCAAGATCTTGGAAAAACTTCTGACTAAGCGACTGTTGTTGGGGGTGCTTAATTAAATTTTCCATTTCCATAATCTGTCAAGGTGCAAAATATAATCAATATCTAATACAGAATTTCAAAAGACAATATTACAGAGTCAATGCATGGAGGCGAGCTCCCTAGACTGATTACTTCTTTGACTAATCTCTCCTGTTATTGTTCCAACCCCAAAAGTATGAAGAGTATTTCAGCCACATGCCCTTTATCCCAATTAACTGTTCATGGAAAACCATTTCTCCTCAACCCACCTTGATGTAAGCTTATGTGTGTGTGTATATATATATATTATAATATAATATATATGTTAAGGTGACAGTGTGATACACATAACAAGCCAATCGAAAACACACACAGGTGTGAGAGAGCCTCAACCTTTCACATCAAATCCCATAATTTCTTTTGGTATGATTATATTTCCAAAAATTCAGAAGTAAAAAAATGCACCTAGAAGGTGGTTAGAGTGTAATGATACAAAACTAAATTTTCCATAAGAAGCAAAAGTCCAACACCAACAATCTTCATATAGAAAATAACCAATTATAGAAAACAAAAAAAAACCCATGACAGCAGCTGAATTTATAGCAAAACTGAGGAAATTTCTGCAGATTAAGATGTGAAATCACAGAGGCAGGTAGTTGACAATACCAATTGAAGGAAACACAAAAAGGGATCAATTTGTTTTACCTCAGAATGAGTGAATACAGATAGAGAATTCATTGGTTCTCTTTTTCTTGTACGAAAAAGTTCCATGTCCATCTCTGTCGAATTGGAGATTTTAAATTCCAATATGATGTAAAATGAGAGTGAGATGAGAGTGATGCCAGTCACCTTTTTCTCTGGGTTTTTGTGTGTAAGTCTCAACTCAACTCCCAAGGGAGGTTTTGAAAGAAGTCTGGGTTCACTGCTGCTACGATGTCTTCGGCTCTTTGATCCAGTGGCCAATTGAAAGCTGCCACAGCAACTGAAAACCTGTCTTCTGTTGTGGTTTTTTTCGTTTAAAAATCTATTTGTTTCTTTAATTGGAAATTGTTTTTCTTTTTCCATAACTAAACGAGAAGAGATGACGTGGCATAAGCCCATTGAGCCTAATTTTGGGCCTAAAAGCAAAAGTAACCAGACCCAAAGCTAAAATTAAAGTGATGGACCTCAAGAAGCCCAAGGTCGTGGCACAACGAGCTCGGCCCAAGCAACAAGGCTTGACCCTGGTCACAAGTTGGGCCCAAAGCTGCAGCCCAATAGCAAAAGTAAAAACTTACCAGTCAAGGCTCGACGGTTTCACGGCCGAGCAGACTGGTAGGCACAGACTCCTTTGAGCCTTCACGTGCACTGTCTCAATAACAACTTAGAGCATCTCAAATCGATGTGTTAAACGTGCTACATAGACATTTAACAGCTATAAATAACATCTCACATCACTCCAACCGATGTGTCAAAGCTGATGTGAAATGAAGGCTGGAGGTTGAGATCTTATTTTTGACATTCCAAAAGTAAGATGTCAAATGAATATTTTATTATTTTTAAAGATATTTGGTTGTTACTTTCATTCATTATTTTCCTTTTTATATTTTTTTTCTTCTTTATCTTAAATGATTTGACTGTTACAATAATTATTTATTTGACATATCGAGTGGAGTGTAAACCTGTGTAAATGTCAAATTGCCACATCAGCCATCAAATTTAATTTTGATGTTTGGTATTTGACATCTCCCTTGGAGATGCTCTTAGAGCATCTCAAACCGATGTGTCAAACGTGCCACATAGACATTTAACAGCTATAAATAACATCTTATATCACTCCAACCGATGTGTCAAAGCTGAAGTGGAATGAAGGCTGGAGGTTGAGATGTTATTTTTGACATCCCAAAAGCAAGATGTCAAATGCATATTTTATTATTTTTTCTTTTCTTTTCTTTTTAACTAAAAACGAATCAACACTAAAATGTAATAAAATAATAATTTAATTTGACTTATCGGGTGGAGTGTAAAGCTGTGTAAGATGTCAAATTGCCATATCAGCCATCAAATTTAAATTTGATGTTTGGTATTTGACATCTCCCTTGGAGATGCTCTTAGAGCACAAAGCAAAACGAATGATGGGACGTCAAACCACTTTTTGAAACTTGAAGATTGGAGCAGAACCCTCGACCCGACAAGCAACTACTTCCCAAAAGATACTTAATAGATAATTACCCTTACTTAATTAACTTGCATTAAACATGAACAACACTAATTCAAGACATTATCACGTGTTAACTATGAAGGAAACATGCATTTAAATTTAAATTCACTGAATTTTAGGCTACAACATACATGAATCAAACATTCAAAGAGGCAGAAGCGAATTTTTGTTCTTATTAAGCCTAATGCTATCCAATTTCCCAAGTATCTTTCTAGCTCTAATAAACCTGTGCCTAAAATAAAAGGGCGGAAATGATGAAGCTTTCTTACCCTCGAAGCTCTCTTGGATTGTCTCAAAGTTTTCACTTTTATAAAGGCATTCTTCCTTGTTGCTTGCTTCATAGATTCTTAACAAGGTACCAAAGTCGATACCCTCTGGTTCATACACACAAATGTAGTGCAAGAGATAAAAAAGATGACCAAGAGGAGGTTAGGTGCTAGCCCTCCCCTCTTGGTGGCCGATTCTAGCATGGCATAGTGGACATTTCTCTCCTCCCAAACCCACTCCAAAGTTGAAGGCTTCAAACCTTAGAGAGAAAATGGCTAAAATATGTCTTATATAGGCCACAAGAGATGAAGCAAAAAAACCTCACCTTAGAATTTCGGCCATGGTAATGTGTGAGCTCCTTTTGGGCTCACTTGAATTGTATTGTCATATAACACTTGTTCCTAGGCCTAATAGGTCATTGTGTTTTTTTTTCTTTTGATCCAAAATGACTTTAAAGCCCAAACCGAGTCTACCGTCAAACAAAATCCATAATTAATAATTTAATTATGATTTGTAACTTAACCATTAAGTTCAAATTATAGTCCAAATAATTGGACTTCGTCAATTGTTTTGGTCAAATGCATTGACTTTGACTTTGACCATTGACTTGACTTTGACTGTTGACTTTGATAGTTACTTTCAACGTCTTATCTTCATCATTTGTTCCTCTTATTATATTTATAGGTGTGCGATCGCATAGGTTCCAATTAGTAATGTAGTGGGTAGGTCTGATTCCTCCGAACCGAGCGTGAATTAAATTCCGTCATTTAATTCTCCCTATTGGTGGTGAAGATTAAGCATAATTAGATCTTATAGGGCTTCCGCAAGATTATACAAGTAAACATATCCGTTTGGTGGGTGGAACTAGATTGGACTATTTCAATTAAAATGGATAACAGTTCTGGCCGTTGTTAGGTGCGCTGGACTGGACTTATTAAAATTGACAACAATTCAACATATTGTATCTTACAAGTTACAAGTCTCACCTAAAATGGTGAAACTAATAAAAACTGGAAAAAAAAACATATATAGTACTGTCGAAAGCTTTGTAGTAGAAAACAGATCACAAATAGACCTTTTACCAAGGGAGAGTAAAATGTTGTCCATTTTTTGAGGAGCAAATGTGTATAATAATCCTTATTAACTGCCAATAAATATTGACAACATACATCAGAAATTTCTGTATAAGTACACTAAAAATTGGTAGACAAGAGTTAAAAATATGGCCATTATAGCTTGTTCACCAAGTGATATAGTCTTTTCCTTGTTGCTTTGGGAGTTTGAAATAAAGGTTGGAGGAGAATAGAGAAAAGCCATTGAGATGCAGTCCTCCTCACCTTTAAAGATTGGCCTTCCTATCACATGCTTGTACTGGCCACCACTCCATGCCTGCAAGAGAACAAAGCAAACAGTTCATACATGTACAGTAATATTCGCTTACGAGACAGTCTAGCGTATGTTTCCTTACAAGACAGTCTGACATCTTATGTTGCTAGACTAACAATACAAACCCCCTCTCCAAGTAAACACTCGCTTAATAAATAATTTAAATTGAAAATTTAACAACATAATATGACGGATAATTTGATAAGAGAAGATATTTCTACTATATATTAAAACATTTTTTACCCTATGATTAGACCATCTCCACATAGGTGACATTGGATATAAAATATACAAAGCAATGATGGTTGAAGATACTAATCGCCATGATGGTGGGCTTGCAGCCATCATATGCCTCTGCTACAATGCAAGGGAGAACATGACTGGTGCAACTTTTACACAACTTTAAAAACACTGTAATTATCATGGTGGCTTTATTATTAGATTAACTGGTCTCCCTTGGTCCCAGTAAATAACAATAACCAAAGTTAAATTTAATTTACCTGTATTTGATCCCCAGTGGTGACTACTAGAGCATTTTTGTCTGGGGTAAAAGAAACCCAACCTTTCTTGGAGTAAACATGGAACTCTGAAGAACCATCACAAAGATGCAAACACAAGGCATGAGAATAATCAGTTCCTCTAATCAACATCTTAATCACATCATATCTTAAAGAGCTGTCCCATTCATCTTCTAAAACATTTTGGCTGTGCTTGTACAGGCAACAGACTGTCCCAAGTTCTTTCCCTTGCACCATATCATCATTTCCATAAACAAATTTTGTTTGAGAATTTTTCCATAAGCTTGGTAGGATTTTCCCAGAAACCTTCTCAATATCTGTCATTAGGGTCTCCAGTTTCTCACTGCAAAATCAAGGAGTTCGGAGCTGTAATCCTAATTGGTTTCATAAAAACAAACAAAAGCCAATTAATTGCATTTATTTGTTAATTACCTGAAATTTGAATATCCAATTGGTGCAAGTCTCTCCATTGTCAACTTCAAACCTTGGTCTCTACACCAAACAAACTCTTCACTCAGTTCACTGCCAACCTCCTCACCATGAACCTCCTCGAACCCGTATGGCTTCTCCGGTAACCGGGTTATCTCCGCCCTCTTCTCCGGCGGTACCTGGAAGATTCCGGTGGCTGCAGCCTGCACAGAGCTCACAAGCTCACTTGAAATTCCATGGTTCACCAGCTGAAAACACCCGTTTCTTGCTATGGACTCCACAACCTTGCAAAGACTAGCATCAAACTCATCCAGATTCAATGCTAACAAATCAATGGTGGGGGGATTTTCAAGTGAATTTTGTTTAGGGAAGAACTTGTCTGGCAAAATGAGGTCAGGGACTTGGAGGGAGTGCTCGAGGTATTCGGTGAGGACTTCATCGTTTGTGACTAATGATCTGCGGCCTGAGGCGATGGGAGAAGGCGGTGGGGCACGAAAATCAATCGGGTTTTCAGAGACGGGTTGAGGTGAGGCTGCCATTGGGACTAAAACTAGAGGGGAGTGATGCAAATAAGCCCACTTGTTCTACTTCTTCTTGTGTTCTTCTATGGCTATGCATCTTTATATTTCTTTTCTTGTCGCTAAAGAAAAAGAAAAAAAGAAAAAGAAAAAAAAAGGAGGAAGGAGCAGCAATGATGACATGTCTTGGGGTTGAGCTACATCCCTCCCAAGAATGATCAATGATCAACACAAGGTCTTTCACTTTTTGGGATTTGCTTTTCTTTTCTATTGTTCTCACTTTCTTTACAGCTCCATTGTTAATCATCACCTCCCTGGTTTTCCCTTTTGTGGCATTTGCCAGACTTTTGGTGAGGGACCTTCATCTCACATAACAAAACAAAAATCTTCAAAAGACAGATATGTAGGTGTTGTGGTTCTATTGTTTGTACGAGAATTACTATTGTTTTTGGCCAATGATGTTAAGTTTCAATTTCAAAATCAATCTGGATTGACAGAGGTGTATATGCTGTGATTCTATTATTTGTCAAAAAATCATTGATTTTGTTTCCCTCTTTTTGTTCGCAAAATTCTGTAGTGAGAGTGTCATATACAGACTACGGAATGATGATTTCATTAAACCTTGAGCCCTGAATGACTCCTCTTTGTTCAATGTGTCGAAAAATATATGCTTATTTTTGGGCTGACCAACCAGTTTGTCCGGTTCAATGGGTTACAACTTGGCTCAAGCCCATCAATGGATTGGGCTGACCCAACCCACCCAACCCGATTTTGGGCCTTAATTTTGCACTGTTGCATATGTAGTAATATGTTAATACAAAATTGCAATAGTTTCTAGAGGTATCTTTTTGTCACTGCCGCCTCCAAAAACGACCTTATACACACCAAAATAATCAGTACTTTACTTACCAACATAATCAGAAGACGAAGACGCCAAGGACATGAGTTGTATGTGGACGCATAAGTTTCTTCTCTCAAACATTATGTTCTACAAGGGTGATGTCTGCGGCAGGCTTCAATGGTTTCATTTTTCTTAGTTTATATTATCATTTAGAGCTTAATAATGTTATGACTTATGGGCATAATTTGATTTTTGGTATGAGATATTGTGGGGATATATGACACTTTCTGCGTTTTTCCTTGTCTAATATAGCACATGTTGCTATCAAATGTCTTTTCTGGTCATCAAGTGTACACACGACATGTTAAATTTGTTACTTCCAAATGAAAGCTTCGGTTCAAGTCTTGACAATCATCAATAAATATATTATGCCTCGTCATATTTTTAGAGAATCCTTTAAGCACAATTCAAACAAAATACGTCTGATATAGATATTTAAACTAATGCTTTCGTCTACTTTTTCTTATACAAATAATATTGAGAGAGGGAGATTCGAACAAGGAACTCCAGATACATGAATAATTATTATTAATCACTTAAGATACAAGGCGTGTTTTCTATCAAATATTAATTTCTATATGGTTTATGTCCCTTCCTCTTTGAAAGTATTTATTTTGAGTTGAATTAGTTTGCCAGAAGATTTTCATTTATCGCTTTCGCCAAATTTTTTCTCACAAGGAATTGGAATTAAGGTCAAACCACATTGATGTATATCGTTGGCGACTTGTTGGACGTTGAGATCACTGTCGAAAATGAACACGTGGGCGTGGCTTGTATGTCTCTTGTCAAAATGTTTAGCTTAGCGACACTAATTTTTGTCTTATTGTTAGTATTAACTTTTGACCAACAACTAGCGGCATTGATTTGAGGACCATTAATCTGCAAGCGAAGTTGACATTATTGTACAACTAGAGCTAGCGACATGTCAACTTGGGTTAATGAGAAAACCAGAAGAATGAAACCAAAAGCATCACAACCCTCCCTCTCTCTCTCTCTCTCCTCTCTCTCTCTCTCCTCTCTCTCTCTCTCTCTCTCTCTGTGTTGAATGTGAAAGAGATCATATCATAGAGATGAAATGATGCAATGAAATCCACCGACGACGAAAGGATGATAAAGGGAAAGAGAGGATGTCTAGAACATTGTTTCGGTAAACGCAAGTTTTCTCATTTTTATGTGTAAAGGTTACACAATTTTAGGTGCATCTAATTATTCACCATGTTGTGATTAACTAATTTTTATTCTTCACATGATGGAACCATTCATTTTCTAAATCACCATCTACGATCATCTTTATCAAAAATCAATTGAATTAGAGATCATTTAATTATTTATATGTATCAACTAAATGGACAATTTCATTATGAGGATCGTAATTGTTATACCAAGACTGTCGATTTGTACGATTCATAGAGATACCTGATTTTGTCCCTAACTAAACTATAGTAAGTAAACATTTTTCATTGCATGCATGATGATACAATTAGAACATCTAACTCAAAACTAATATACCAAGGGGTCTAGCCAAGTAAAAATAGCATTTAGTTGCAGATCAGTGATCTCATGTTCAAATTCCTATAGCATCTTGATAGTGTATGTGAGAAACTCCCCTTTCCTGTAGCCAGTTTAGACTATCACTTGTATTAAAAAGAAAAAAAGACATAAAATTATATATTGAGGTGACTGACTTTGTTATTATTTCAACTCTTCTCTCTATCATACTATAGCCACTAGCGGAGCCAATCCATGCCTAGGGTGGGCACTGGCCCACTCTCAAATATTGTTGTATAGACAATTATATGTGTAGTGATATTGTAAAAATATTATAAAATTTCTCATAAATTGTTAAATGCCCACTATTTTTTTTTGCTTCTCTTTCATTCTTATGTCTAAATTTATTTTGAATTGCATGTATTTGTTATCATAAAAGAGTGGTAGGTTATTCAAACAAAAAATAAAGAAAAAAAATAGAGAATTAGGGATTTCTTAAAAACTAGGTTGATTTGTCATAAAAGAAAGTGTTTGAATTTTTAAAGGTGCCTTCTCTTACTTAAATTCATGGCTCTGTCTCTGACTATAGCTGAAGACCTACCTAACCAAGAAGACATCGGAACATAGGTTTTAGTTGGCGTACACCAAGTCCCCCACCACAAAGAAAAAGTCCTTGGAATGACATGAAGTTGAACTTGGAATTTTTTTCCTTTTTTTTGGGGTCATTCGGGGGCCAGGGAAGTTGAAAACTTGTTTTATTTTGTTCCTTCCTAAACTGCTATTGCTTCTCTACTTCTCCTTTTACAATCAAACCTTTTTCTTCCAAGGCCAATTGCTGCTTCTAACAAGTTTCTTCGAGTCAAAAGTGTGCGTCGTACATCGCTTCGGCTGCTTTCCGTCTCCTTTCATCTGGTGCTCATCAGCTTCCATTCTTCAATAATCGCCAACGCCTGCCTTCCAGCTAATTACCATGGTCCACTCAATTTTAACTTTCTTCCTTTGAATTCCATCTTCCCTTCGACTTGGATCAATTTTAATCTTTCATAGAAGAGTCTATGAAATCTCTCGTCACGATCAATTTGGATAAAGTTGCTTTCACTTATAACATTACTCTATTGTAATTGTAATACTAGCATGTTTATCGCGAAGCTTATGTTTAGGATTTGGATGGACCATCGAAGCTAAACAAAACTGGGCTGTGGAAGGATATAATAGATTAGAACCTTGTGATATCAGTTCATATAGTGTATTATATATAATAGATATGAAGGAAGTTGAGGTTCCACTTCAAAATCAATTGGTAATGGGGAGAGTAGCCCAACTCCTTATAAACACAGGCTAGGTCCCTTAATATTTCAATATGGGACAAACACTTTGAACACGCCCCTGCACGTGTGGCGAAGTTTCAAACCTAACACATGGACAACACATATTGGGTGATGTAAGAGCATGTATGGCTGTTGGGCTAAACACGTGAAGTCTTACTTTGATATTATGAGAGGTTTGAAATTTCTTGAAGATCCCCTGGTTTTTTTGCGCTTCTCACACTTCTTCAATAAAATGAAGACACAACCATTTGATATAATGTTATAATTTTGAAATAGATTGCGGTAGTTCTAAAAAATTAGAATTTATCAATTTAAAAAATTGTAATAATTTTCAGAACTTACATATAGATCTAATTTCACAACTTTAATTTTAAGATGTCGAAGTTAGAAATCCTAGGATAAGATTCAACATTAATTCTCATATTACATTTGATCGGAAATTTTCGGACCACACCATTAGAAAATGGGGCAAAAGCCACTTGCCTTTCCTCCTATATTAGAGTATCTCCAACCAATGTGTTAAATGTAACACATAGACATTTAACAGCTAGAAATAACATCTCACATCACTCCAACCGATGTGTCAAAGCTGACGTGGAATGAAGGCTGGAGGTTGAGATGTTATTTTTGACATCTGAAAAGCAAGATGTCAAATGAATATTTTATTATTATTATTTTTTAAATTAAAAATAAATCAACACTAAAATGTAATAAAATAATAATTTAATTTGACATATCGGATGAAGTGTAAAGCTGTGTAAGATGTCAAATTGCCACATCAGCCATCAAATTTAAATTTGATGTCAAAAATAACATCTCAACCTCCAACCTTCATTCTACATAAGCTTTGACACATCGGTTGGAGTGATGTGAGATGTTATTTCTAACTGTTAAATGTCTATATGACATTTTTGACACATCAGTTGAAAATGCTCTTCACTACATGTGTTGTACATTTGTGAAAAAAAAAAAAAAAAAAAAAAAAAAAAAAAAAAAAAAACATCCTGGCACCCACAAAGGCGTGGTCAATTTTAAATGTTGGAAAACGCACCCTTCTATTAGCCACAATTAATATTATTGAATAACGTATCTAAATTGTGCTCTGTACACGTAGAGAACCTACAAAAGGTCCCACTTAGGTTTGGGTCTATATCTAGCCACGATTAATGTTGATTAACATATTTAAATTGTACTCCGTATAGAGTGTTTGAGAGGATCCAAACCATCCTCGAATTTTCCCTCGAAATCCTAAGGGATTTTGTGGTTGTCACATACTCTCATTTTTATTTTTATTTTTATTTTTTGGTAAATATTATGAGGTGTTTAGGCTAGCTTGGGCGATCCTCGACTAATCCTCATTCGCAGAACTGAGCCTACCGCTGGCCACCAGGTGTTGCAACTGCCGGGATTCGAACTGGGGAGCCAACCCAACTGAACTTCCACTGAAAATTTGGCATTCATGGATTCATTTAGTATAGTTGATTTAAAGATTACAATCATTATTTACTTTAATCTTCATGATATTAGTTTTAGCATATTTCATTGTAATTTAATTATGTTTTAAGGGACTTTTTAAGTGCCTAACTTGATGGTTTCATTTTAATTTAGTTATATAAATTAATATTTTTCCCATACTCCTTTGGGTTAACCAAGCCTGCTACCTTTATGCGGTTAAGTTGTATTGCCCATTTGTGGCTATAGTTGTCGTCGGAAGACAATATTTCCCTTGAATTGATGATGTTGATGTACCCCTTCTGAAGTTGTACAATTTTCATACATGTATTGATTATTTGTAGCTAGATTATGAATATAATTTTCACTTGATGATAAAATAAACAACTAGCAACATTATATTTGTATTAGTTTTGTTTAATTTTAATTAACAACTAGCCACATTGATTTGGGGACCATTAAACTGCTAGCGAAGTCGACAAATACATTTGCTCATGTGATAATGATAAAAGTAGAACGAGAATATCTTTGCAACCAAAGGAATTGCAGTTGCCCGTCTCCAAATTTTAAAATGCATGACGCCTAGGTTTTCCTCTCTGTCAATGTGAAAGAGATCATAACATCAGAGATGATGCAATGAAATGTACCACTGATGATAGCATGATGAAGGGAGAGAATATGTATCTAGAACATTGTTTTGGTCAACACAATGATATTCCTAAACATTCACTACAAAAAAAAGGGTCATTACCGACCAACATTCTCCGAGGGCCCCGAAATTTCCTCGGTAAAAGTGTTTTTTCCGACCAAAAAATACTGTCCGTTGGAAATATGTCACGAGCCTGAAATTTATTTCCGACAAAGGAAATACCCTCGGAAAAAGTCTCAATTGTCGTCGGAAATGTAATTTATTTGGTGGGAAGACTTGGCGCCAACTTTATTAACGACCAAAAGTATGTTTGACGGAAATAGGATGATTATTTCCGAGGGCTTTCTCTTTCCGTCGGAACTGTTTGACTATTTCCGAGGGGCTTCTTATTCCGTCGAAATTGCTTGAACATTTCCGAGGGGTTCTCCTTTCGTCTGAATTGTTTGACTACTTTCGAGGAGAAATATGTCCTCTCGGAAAAACGTTTGAATGTCAATTTCCCATTTAGAATAAATTAAAAAAAATTTGATTGATGATATTGTTAGCTAGGGAAGAAAACAGATTTTTTTCAAGAGAAGTTGGTTATCATGTAGACCCAACAAACCCAATGCCAATATATATGGTAGTTGGTGGGGGCTGTGTTCCATGGGGGGTTGGTACAGTTTCATTCGCAAGTCTCTACACAAAACAAAACAAAGGCATTATCTGCATATGAAATGAAACCCAAATTAAAAATCAAAATGATATGAAAATTATAATTTGATGCACAAACCAAAGCTCTCTGTAGTGATATGCAGTTCTTATTTGAACCTATCAACTTTTTGGCCCCTCCCCCACAAAAAAGAAGAGCCTCGCTAGCTGTGAATTTCCCATTAGAATAAGTATAAAAAAAAATTGATTGATAATAACCAATCACACTCCAAAATAAATAACTAAAAATAGCCAATCCAAAAAAAAATAAGCAATCACAATTACATGACAACTCATCCCATAGTTGTAAGTTGAACACATCGATCCCTTCTTCAATCAATTTCATTGTCTTCAACATCATTTTGGATGGCATGCATGCTTTGAATTTGAGTCTCTGCTTCTTGGTATGGCTCAATCTCATCATTAGTCGTCTCATAAGCATTTCTTGGATTTGTTTCCACGACAAAACTCCAAATTTTATTTCTAACCCCCTTCACATAAAAAACTTGGGTTGCTTGGCTTGCTAGTACGAATGGCTCTTGAGTATTTAGCTTGCGTGTTGTATTAACAGTGATTATTCCATAACGATCTATCTTGTAACCTGTTCCTTTTCGTGCCATGTCATACCAATCACAATTGAACAATACAACTCTATTTCCTTCTGTGTAACGGAGTTCAACAATATCTACTAAGGTTCCATACCAAGGCACATCGTCAATCTGATTCTCCCCCTTAACCATAACTCCACTATTTTGTGTTTTTTTATTCTCATCACGCTGCAATGTATGAAATCTAAAACCACTAATATAATAACCAGGATAATAAGTTACTCGCCTTTCAGGACCTTGAGCCAAAGAAAGCATTTGCTTACTAACTTTACCATCGTTGTATAGTTCTGTGACCTGCATAGAAAGGAAAAATATTTTTAAATAAACATCTATGACATTCAATAATTTTTTGAATACAATATTATCCATACCCTTTTAGAAATCCAGTTTGAAAATTGAAGCCTATGTGACTCCTCCACATTATCAACACTAGACTGGATTAGAACGTTCTTATGTTCTCTGCATACATAACAAATGATTATATTCAAATTAATACAGTGACATATTACATCTAAATAAATAGTAACTTATTAAATACACTTAGAAATTATAGTATTTAAGAATTCTTACTGGACAAATGGAAAAGCTTCATCACAATTTTGCAGGACATAATGAGTGGCAGCCTTATGAAGTTCGATGCTCATCTCTCTAAGTACACCTTTCCCAAAAGCTCGACCAGGTGTTGAGAAAATAGATAACGGAGATGCATCATATGACGGTTGACCTCCATCGTCATTTCTATCTCTTTTATTAAACTTAGTTTCAACTCGATGCAAATAGCGAGAGCAAAATATTAAACACTCATCTCCCAAGACACCTTCGGCAATAGACCCTTCTGGATGAGCCTTATTACGAACATAAGTCTTTAGCTTATGCAAATACCTAATTACGTCATAAATACCAAAATTAGAGAATCATACATCAGCAGTTAAACAAATCATGAATAAAATTAATATCTAAACATTGAGATTACCTTTCCATAGGATACATCCACCTGAATTGTACTGGACCGGCCACTTTTGCCTCCCATGCCAAGTGGCAAGTTAGGTGAATCATGATGTCAAAAAAAGCAGGAGGGAATATTTTTTCCAACTTGCATAGAGTTATGGCAATTTGTTTGTCAAGAAGATTCAAGTCATCTTCTCTTAAAACTTTAGCACACAATTCCTTGAAAAAGTACGATAATTCAATTACATATAGTAATTAAATAAATATTTCACTCTACAGCGAATGAGGTCTAGCCTAATGAAAAAGGCATTGACTTATAGATTAGTGGTTTCAGGTTCGAACCCCCAAGACACATTGGTAATGTGTCTGTGTGAGAAATCCACCTCCCTTTATAGTTTAGACTATCGCTTACATTCAAAACAAACAAAAAAGTTTCACTCTACATTTAGGCTATGCTCATATATGTATTCTTAATTTTGTTAGATAGTTTGACGTATCATGTTTTTAATGTCAATCTAATTACGTATTCAAATAAGAATTCACACAATTAATAATTCAAGTTGAAAGCTTTGACAATGTAATAAACATTAAAAAAAAGTATTTTCCATTAAGTAGAAGGTTTTTCTATACAACTGCGTACTTAGAGTCAGAGACTAGCTTTGTTATTTTAAGTAGTCTTCTCAAGTAACCAACAACAATCTGATTCACCTCAATTCAACCAAGAAAACCAAATTGGTCCAAACAAAAGACAGAGATACAAAAATTATCTACAACAAAGAAAAAGTCTTTGGAATTTGGAGGGAGCTGAAATTGGACTTCATTTGAATTGTAGGCTACTCATTGCAAAATCGAATCACATTTCAAACATCACCAATGCAACACAAAATATCACAAGAACCAAGAATCGTCACATTACCATGTATCTAGACAGCAATCTCATATCAAAGCCAAATAACTTTGCGTGAAAGAAAAGAGAGCAAATTTTCTTGATAAACTCTCAGATGTCATACGTCGTATACGGTTTTCGAGCTAGAATGTCAAACAGTTGAAAGAGCACCTAGCCTAGTCTAGAAAGAACATATTGCATATATATACCATTTTTGCTAATCTTTTTTTTAAAGCTATTCCATTTTTGCTAATCTTTTTTTTAAAAAACATTTCAGAAGGGTAAGTAAAAAATGGACGGAACAGAGAAAGTGAAAGGTTCACAACCACATCAGGGGCACCATAGCTATAGCAGAAGCATAAGCAGGAGTTTTAGCAGAGCAAGTTGGAGAATGGAAGAAGTGTTTGTGAGTGCCTCGCACTCTCGGAGAAGCAGCCACGTGGATGAAGATGAAGAAGCTCTGAAATGGGCAGCCATTGAGAAACTGCCCACATATGATCGGCTAAGAACAAGCATCATCAAGTCCTGTGTGGAAACAGAACCTCAAGGACACCACCACAACAACAACAAAGTGGTGCATAAGGAGGTTGACGTTCTAAAGCTCGACATAAACGACCGTCAAAATTTCATTGACAGGATTTTTAAGGTTGCAGAGGAAGACAATGAGAAGTTCTTGAAAAAGTTCAGAAGTAGAATTGATAAGTAAGTTCTATCATGATTAAACTTAAGTGCAACCGGTATATTCCTTTTTTTCTGTCTCTCTCATCTCTTTTTTTGTTGATATTTAGTAGAAAGCCATTTTCAATAACTCATATTAAAACATTTACTCTCACATCTCTCACAAAAGTGAAACTCACTTGCAGTCTCACTTATGCTAGTGAAGAGACATAATATTAAGAAAAAAAAAGTTTAGTAAATTATTATCACTCCTCTCGATAGGAAAGATCCTAAAAAAATAAATTTTTTTGAATGAAACAGACGCAATGCGGATGCATCTCGCATTAATGGATGCGGAACCCACTAATATTTGTGATTTATGTAACATTTCAGGGTAGAGGTATTCGGCCTTTAGAATTTGTTACATGAGAGATTGATGATGCATCAACTATGTCATCCATGTATCCATGTAACAAATTAGGTCAAGAAAAGAACTTTCAGACTGCTCTTTTATTGTAAAGGGAATCAAATTGGAGCATATTAATTATGGTTAATTAATTAATTAATTTGCTCATGTGTTGTAATTGATTTCAGGGTTGGGATCAGACTTCCAACAGTGGAAGTTAGGTTTGAGCATTTGAACGTTGAAGCCGATTGCCATGTCGGCACCAGAGCTCTTCCCACCCTCCCAAATGTTGCTCGGAACATTGCAGAATCAGCTCTTGGCTTAATTGGGATTAGATTGGCTAAGAGAACAAAGTTAACAATTCTCAAAGAAGCCTCTGGCATTATTAAACCATCAAGGTAAGGTTTACGGTAACTAATTAAATGAGGTCATTAGTTATTGATTTTGATTAATTAGAGTTTTTGTAACTTTTTTTTTTGGGTTGTAGGATGGCCCTTTTACTAGGTCCCCCATCCTCAGGGAAAACAACCCTTTTGCTGGCACTAGCTGGGAAATTGGACCCAGCCTTGAAGGTCAGGGGTCAAAAGACACTGTTAATAAAATAGGGTTTATGACAATAATAATAATAACTTTTTTTAAAATTATTTATTATTTATAAATATTGAACAGGTTAAAGGAGAAATCACTTACAATGGGTACAAGCTGAATGAATTTGTGCCGCAGAAGACATCTGCATACATTAGCCAAAATGATGTTCATACAGGAGTTATGACAGTCAAAGAAACCCTAGATTTTTCAGCAAGGTGCCAAGGGGTTGGTACTCGATATGGTAACTCACCAAACCCAAACTCAAACTCAAATTTGGCTCTCTTTATTTATTCATTCATTTATTTGTAATTTTGGAAATGAATTTGATAATAATTTTTAAAATTATATTCGTTGGGTTTTATATATGTAGAACTTCTTTCTGAGCTTGCTAGAAGAGAAAAGGACGCTGGAATATTTCCAGATCTAGAAGTAGACCTTTTCATGAAGGTATATAATATTTGTATTCATAAGATTTATTTATCCAACATCCAGACATCCATATAGGAGAATTTCTGTAATCTAATTTTTTTTTGGCAGGCTACTTCAATGGGAGGAATTGAGAGCAGTCTCATTACAGATTATACTCTAAAAGTGAGTATTTCTTAATTATATATATATATATATATTCTTCAAATTAATTATTAAAGTAAAGGTGGTGACAAAAAAAAAGTGCCACTGCCGGATCATGAATGAAAGGCGCAGGTCACCAACAATACCAAGTCAAATTAGATTTTGTTTTTGTCAAAATTTTCTCCTCACGCGCCTACTTTGCTGACTGCTGTCTATCTGAACACATACTTGGATAATGAGGGCCCTTCTTTGCACTTTGGTTGGTGACCAACCATGTTTTCAATACCAATTTACTAAAACACCCTTTACAATGTCTTGCTGATTAAATTAGTGATGAAGCGCATGACCTCATGTATTTGCTGACATGATTTTGGATTGAATTTGGAACAGATTTTGGGACTTGATATTTGCAAGGATACAATTGTTGGAGATGAGATGCGGAGAGGGATTTCTGGTGGGCAGAGAAAACGAGTTACCACAGGTCAAATCCCACCATCGTTTTTTTCTTTTGATTTTATTAACAAAAATGGGTCCTCGTACACTTTGAATTTTCTCTGTCTTTGAGAAAAGCATGTATCAAATTATTATATATAATCCCCCAATCTAATTAAAATAAAAATATTTTATAAGAATAGAATTTTTAATTATTGTGTTGAAAATTTAGAAAGAAAAAGGGAGGGACCCCCTCTTTTTTGTTTTTGTTTTTTTTCCTCTTCATAGAACTATCTCTCTTGAGTCTTGAAGGGTCTATCTTGGACGGGAAATATTTTATGAAGAGTAATTTAACGACTTTTTATTATTATTAATAGGCAAGTAGAGAATCAAATTTGTGAACTCTTCAGAGTTCCAACAATAAAAATAGTAATTTATTAACTACTTATGTAGTACAAATAGAGTTTACAAATTCCTTCATTTTTTCAAAGGACCATAGAACTATAAGTTGTTGCTAAATCAATTCGAATACCCTAATGGACCAATATCAATCCTAAAAGACATACCTTAATTTATTAATAAGTAGATTCTAATGTATATATTGATCATATGAAGACAACTTTAAACAATTAATTTTTTTTAGGTCTTTTTTTTCTTTTTATGTTGATTAATTAAATTTATTATCGTACTGTCAAATTTTTCTAAGAAAATTAAAAATGAAAAATATCAAATTAGGAGTCATAGTATATTATAAATAGGATTTTTCGCAGCAATGGTCTCTCAACTATACCTGTATTTGCATTTGGGTCACTGAACTCAATTATTAGTTGTAGAGATCACTCAACTGTGTGTTTCGTTGCACCAATAGTCATTCTGTCAAACTCTGTTAAATTTTCTGTCAAAAGTGAGGGTAAGTTTGGAAATTCATCCACAACCCTCCCTCTCCTCCACAACCATCTCTCTCTCTCTCTCTCTCTCTCTTTCTCTTTGAGCGAACTCGAACAGCCACTATAGCAGCATTTTTCATCATGCCTAAATGGTACCGGTAAGGTCCTAAAGAACTGTTGAACCATCCCATTCAAGCAAGCCTCGAAATCTGCCCCGACTTGCCTGATCCTGTTACCGATATTGGGAATCACGGAAACCCCATTAATCCCGGAGTTCTCGACAACCAACCCAACAAAGTCTCTCTTGCCGAAACTCTAGTTCGGGAACTCGAGATCGAACAGCTTCAACGTGTTAGGGTTAGGCCAAGCGAATGGTGGCGTACTGATGTGGGATTGAATCAAACTCGTAAAGCCCTGCACGAGGTGGTTCGCTAAGTCCTGGCCATGGTGTTGAACCTCCTCCCAAGCTTTGAAGGACCTCTCAACAGACAGTTCAGCAAAAGTTGAAAGCTTTTTGTGTTGTTCCTCTGAAACAGTCACAAGTTCTTCATGGCCCAGAAACAGTGAGATTAGGATTTTGATTTGAGCTTTTAATAATGGAAAACCTGAGCTTTCTTCAGTTTTAATAACAATTTCAAGCTTGAAATTTGAGCGTTCGAGCTTAGATTTTTCAATCTTAAATCGTAAAATAAAAATCTCAACCTGTTTCAGATTTGTGGATGTTTATGGTTGATGGTTTACAGTGAGTGATGAGTTGGGGTGGGAGGAAGGATTGGGTGGTGAGTTTGGTACAATGAAGGAGAAGCAATCGAGTTGTCTTTCTCTTTTCCTTTTTCTGCCCAGATTTTGGTACAATGGAGGAGAAGCAAGGATTAAGTTGCGACAATGGAGGGTTGTGGATGAATTTCCAAATTTACCCTAAGTTTTGACAGAAAATTTAACAGAATTTGACGGAAGGACTATTGGTGCAACGAAACACACAGTTGAGTGACCTCTGCAACTAATAATTGAGTTCAGTGACCCAAATGCAAATACGGGTATAGTTGAGGTACCATTGCTGCGAAAAACCCTATAAAATAAATATTTCATATAAACTTCATATGTGCAATTTTTTTTTTCCATAAATGTTTTCTAGTATTAAAAAATAGAGTAATGCTATTTGGACACACAAGATTGACCACATTAGCTGACCACCTTATATAGCAGCTGATGTGTATATGCCACGTCACTTAAATGTGGCAAATTGTATTTTTCTTTTTTCCTTTTTAAATTAAGTAATTTATATTTTCAACTTTTCTCCTTCTTCGTTGTATCCCTTTGGCTGCCTTCTCCTTCCCTTTTGGCCTTTGCTCATCCTCCTGCAATCTCCCTCCAAAAAGAAAACCAATTCTTTGATTCAACAAACCCAACTCTGCAAATCAACTAATCAAGAAAATCCAACTCAAAAATCTTAATGCCTATTTCACTAGTTATCTAGAAAATCCGAATTGATTTTGAGATCTTATATTCTCTGGTCATGTGTATAAGAATTAAAAAGAATTTTAAAGCTTTAGTATGTTGCTAGGAATGGAGTATTAGCTTTCCAATCAAATGGGCAGTCTGGTGAACAATCGAAGTCGAACAATTCCCAAAATATGAACTATTTTTATTTTAAATATGAATGTTCTTCCAAGATGGATTGATGTGATTTGTCGGGTTTCTCGCGCGGCTTGGCGGTGTTACTGGGTAAGGGTAGATTTGATGGAGGAATGGAGTGTTGAGTTAAGAACGAAGCTGCAGCCTGCTACAGCGTACATATGCTATGGTTAATTATAATTAATTATAATTTTGTTGTTTTTAAGTATTATTAAAAAAAAGTAAATAAAAATAAAATTTACATGGCAGTGTTCATTAATTGACATGACATGACCACATCAGCTGTCATATAAGGTGGTCAGCTAATGTGGTCAATCTTGTGTGTCTAAATAACATTACTCTAAAAAATATTTATGTGCGTGTACAATTACAATGTGTTGACAAGCTCAAATTAATATGGTGAAATACAGGTGAGATGATTGTGGGGCCTACTAAAACATTGTTCATGGATGAGATCTCAACGGGTCTAGATAGCTCCACGACATTTCAAATAGTGAAGTGCCTACAACAAATTGTACACATCACTGAGGCCACAATCTTGATGTCCCTACTCCAACCTGCTCCTGAGACGTTCGATCTCTTTGATGACATCATCCTTCTATCGGAAGGCCAGATCGTCTACCAGGGCCCACGTGAGAACATTTTAGAGTTCTTTGAGAGCTGTGGATTTCAATGCCCAGAGAGAAAAGGGACTGCTGATTTCTTGCAAGAGGTAAAATCTTGATAGGTCTCACTTAATAAATATAATAGGTTGTGATTAGTAGTTGACATGTTGTGGTTTGGTTTGGTTTGGTTCGGTTTAAGTTTTAAATCACATGTTAAATAATGAAACATTGTCGTTTGAATTAAATCTAGTAAAATAAACAAATTACACTAATTCATTTAATGATCGGATTGGTTCAGTCAGTTAACTTTCTAAGCAATTAAGCAATTTTTTTAGAGAGATGTCATTCAGATACGAATACCTTAGTGATTTTATTTTATTTTTTCATATTAAAAGGTTAATATCAATGCTGAGATGAAATAGTAAAATGATGATACCAAATAAGAAAATGTCATTGTTAAAATAAAATAAAAATATGGCAGCTTAGTTTGGTTTAGACAATTTCTAAATGAGCCACTAAACTAATTGCAATTTGGTTCGACTCCATTCAATATTACATTTTTAGTGTAAAAACGAATCAAACATATCCGGGTTTGATTGGATCGGTTTGAATGGTTTGAACAGTTATAACAGCCCATGAAATTGTGCTAATCTAAATCCATAATTTTGATGGGCCAATTTTCCAACCCATAACTGTGTTAAACTTTCTCAGGTTACATCAAGAAAAGACCAAGAACAATATTGGAACGACAGAAGGAAGCAATACAGATACGTATCAGTTACAGAATTTGCAAACAGGTTCAAACGCTTCCATGTGGGCATGAGGCTCGAAAATGAGCTCTCAATCCCTTTCGACAAGCCTCGCGGCCACAAAGCAGCTCTTGTGTTCACAAGATATTCAATACCCAAAATGGAGCTTCTCAAGGCCTGCTTTGACAAAGAACGGCTGCTCATTAAGAGGAACTCCTTCATCTACATCTTCAAGACGGTCCAAATTATAATATGTGCATTTATAGCCTCCACCGTTTTCTTGAGGACCGAAATGAACACTAGGAATGAAGATGATGGAGCAGTTTATGTTGGTGCACTTATATTTTCCATGATCGTTAACATGTTCAATGGTTTTGCTGAGCTCTCTTTGACCGTTGCAAGGCTCCCTGTGTTTTACAAGCACAGAGACCTACTCTTCCACCCTGCTTGGACTTTCACTGTCCCATCTGTCCTGCTTGGGATTCCTATATCCATCTTGGAATCTTGTATTTGGATGGCCATTACATATTACACCATTGGATTTGCACCAGAAGCTAGCAGGTACAAAATTTGTATGCTTTATTTCATTTATGTCTTTGGTTTTTCAAGAAACTCTGAGTTTGAATATGTCAAAATATTTGCAGATTTTTCAAGCATCTATTGTTGTTATTTTTGCTCCAACAAATGGCTTCTGGGATGTTTAGGCTTATTGCAGGAGTCTGCAGGACCATGATCATATCGCACACTGGGGGCACTCTCATCGTGCTCATTGTTTTCATGCTTGGAGGTTTCATAATTCCTAGAGGTTAGCATGAAACTGAATATTGAATGTAGTTGTCAAAGCAGTCAAAAACCTACAAAAGATGAGCACGGTTAGTACTTCACTGAATCATCAATGAGTTTGCTTCATTTTTTACAGGTGAAATTCCCAAGTGGTGGATTTGGGGATACTGGGTTTCACCTATGACATATGGCTTCAATGCTCTGACTGTAAACGAAATGTATTCTCCGAGGTGGATGAACAAACTGGTATGCCATACAAGGCTCTTCCTTGCATGCATCGTTGATGAGCTAGATTTGTTTAACAAAAAGGTTAGATTCTAAAATGGACTTCATTGTGTTGCAGGCTTCAGATAATGTTACCAGCTTGGGTGTGGCAGTGCTAAATAACTTTAATGTTTACCCTGACAAATACTGGTATTGGATTGGAGCTGCCGCTATTCTTGGGTTTGCAGTTCTCTTCAACGTCCTTTATACGCTTGCGCTTATGTACCTAAACGGTAAGAATCAAGATTCCTTTTATGTCAAACACGGATTTTCTTCTTTTATTTGTTGTTTCAAAGTGAAGATTTTAATGCTCTTGTTTCAATAAACTAGCTCCCGGAAAGCCACAAGCCATAATATCCGAAGAAGTGGCAAACGAAATGGAGGCAGACCAAGAAGAATCAAAGGAAGAACCAAGGCTTAGAAGGCCCCCGTCAAAGAAAGACTCATTTTCTAGATCTTTATCTTCTACTGATGAAAACAACTCAAGTAAGAAACAGAAAACTCTTGGCAATTGAAATGTGAAAATAATTTGTTATCCAAGTTTCTTATTGGACTAAAAATCTTTTAGGAGAAATGACAATCCGGAGAATGAACAGTCGATCCAATGCCAATGGACTAAGTAGAAATGCTGATTCGTCTCTTGAAATCGCCAGTGGTGTTGCCCCAAAGAGAGGAATGGCTCAAACCTTCACTCCTCTTGCAATGTCCTTTGACAGTGTTAATTATTATGTGGACATGCCCCATGTAAGAGATATTTCTTTTTCCCTCTACACTCTTTATGAACCTGAAACATTATATTATATTCCAACTTCACTACTTTGCACAATAACAGGAAATGAAGGAAGGAGGAGTGGCAGAGGACAGGCTGCAACTACTTCGTGAAGTAACTGGTGTATTTAGGCCTGGGGTCTTGACTGCTCTAATGGGGGTCAGCGGGGCTGGGAAGACAACTTTGATGGATGTCTTAGCAGGAAGAAAGACCGGTGGGTATATTGAGGGGGACATTAGAATTTCTGGGTACCCTAAGAAGCAAGAAACGTTTGCAAGAATTTCTGGTTATTGTGAACAAACAGATATCCACTCACCCCAAGTCACTGTCAAAGAGTCACTGATTTACTCAGCTTTCCTTAGGCTCCCTAAAGAAGTCAACAATGAGGAAAAGATGGTAAAATCATGCCCTGCAATACTTCTCCGAACAATCCATAACGTGATTATTTAAATTCTGAAATGCATGCTCTTTGTTTTATGATAATTGCAGATTTTTGTAGATCAAGTGATGGAATTAGTCGAGCTAGACGGTCTCAAAGATGCTTTAGTGGGGCTTCCAGGAATTTCAGGGTTGTCAACTGAACAAAGAAAGAGGTTAACAATTGCAGTTGAGCTTGTTGCTAATCCCTCAATCATTTTCATGGATGAGCCAACATCAGGTCTTGATGCAAGGGCAGCTGCAATTGTTATGAGGACTGTTAGAAACACTGTGGACACAGGGAGAACAGTTGTCTGCACAATTCATCAGCCTAGCATTGATATCTTTGAGGCCTTTGATGAGCTGCTACTGTTGAAGAGAGGAGGACAAGTTATCTACTCGGGACCCTTGGGCCGCAATTCTCACAAGATTGTCGAATATTTTGAGGTATTTTGCCTTCCGAAACTTTTTCATTTTCTTAATGTTGCACAAACAAATAAACAAATGCAGTATTATCTAAGTCCGTACTTATTGATCTATTCCAGGCAGTTCCTGGTGTGACAAAAATCAAAGAGAAGTATAATCCAGCCACATGGATGCTAGAGGCGAGCTCGGTATCAACTGAGCTTCGGCTTAGAATGGACTTTGCTCAACACTACAAATCATCTTCCTTGTACCAGTAAGTAAAAACAAACCAAAAAGTTTAGAAATACTAATAGTTTGTAGGGTCCAGAATTTGGCTGACTTTTGGGAAATGTAAATTCTTCTCTATGAACAGGAGAAACAAAGCTTTAGTAAAGGAGTTGAGCACACCACCAGCAGGAGCAAAAGACCTCTATTTTACTACTCAGTATTCTCAGTCATCATGGAAGCAGTTCACGTCTTGCCTCTGGAAGCAGTGGTGGACTTATTGGCGAAGTCCTGATTATAACCTTGTTAGATTCTTTTTCACCTTGGTAGCTGCACTTCTGCTTGGAACTATTTTCTGGAAGGTTGGCACTAAAAGGTATGCGCTTATCTCTGCTTAACTAGTTCAAAACTTCAAGTAGGGCTCTTTTTGCTACAGAAAAAAGCCTCCGAGTTTACCTACTTCTGAGCTATTTGTCTTTGTTCCATATTCAGAGAAAGCACAGCTGATCTTTCCATGATTATTGGGGCTATGTATGCTGCTGTGCTTTACGTTGGAATCGATAACTGCGCTACAGTTCAGCCAATTGTTGCGATTGAACGAACAGTTTTCTATCGAGAAAGAGCTGCTGGGATGTACTCTGCATTACCTTATGCACTGGCACAGGTAAGTGAGGGGCCTTATATGCTTACAGTAACTAAAATTTTTCACAAATTAATCATCCAATTCACGAGACATTATTATATCATAGTTTTGTGCTATCAAATTCTCCACCTCAATCTAACTGATTCAAATAAAACCATATATATGGCTTGCAGGTCATTGTTGAAATACCATATGTGTTTATTCAAACTACATATTATACAGCGATAGTGTATGCTATGGTGAGCTTCCAATGGACAGCAGCAAAGTTCTTCTGGTTCTTCTTCATCAACTTCTTCTCATTCCTTTACTTCACATACTACGGAATGATGACCGTTTCCATCACACCAAACCACCAAATAGCAGCCATATTCGCAACAGCATTTTATTCGGTCTTCAATCTCTTCTCAGGTTTCTTCATCCCAAGACCCGTAAGTAGTAGTTTTCTTCTTCCCACAAGCACCTACTTTCAAATTCAATTATAAAAAAACTCATGTGATTTCTTGGTTAACATTACCAAAATGGTGACCAAGTAATCGAAACTCATTAAACGTATGCTAATGCGAAGTTCTTTAACTTTGGAATTTTCAGAGAATACCCAAGTGGTGGGTTTGGTACTACTGGATCTGTCCAGTGGCATGGACAGTGTATGGATTGATAGTGTCGCAGTATGGTGATATTGAGGACACCATTAGAGCACCTGGGATCACACCTGACCCTACTGTGAAAGGGTACATAGAAGACCATTTTGGATATGATCCAAACTTCATGGGACCAGTGGCTGGGGTTCTGGTTGGCTTCACACTCTTCTTTGCCTTCATGTTTGCCTACTGCATAAGGACACTGAACTTCCAAGTTAGATAGAAACATTCTTGTTATATTGTACGTGTTATATATGCTACAGAAAGTGAGACATGTACGAATGTACCCCAAGAACAGGGGGCAATTCTTTAAGCATGATGAATTGTTCTCTTGAGAAAGTAAGTGAGTTATATATATATATATACCTTTTGTTTAAAGTTGCTGATTTTTTGTTACCGATGATGAAGATGAGTTTAGTTGACAGCTCCTTTAGATTGTATTTGAAATGTTAAGGGTGTATCTTGTAATTTGTTTGTATTACTACCAATACCAAAGACAAACGATATTGTTTAATCACATTATAAATTTTAGTGCCTTTTTATTTTTATTTTATGGTCGAAATTTGGTGCCTTTTTATAGTCAAAGAGTTAGCAATGTTTTTTGGCTGGAGTAATTGAAGTCATCATTCTATTCTATTACTAAATTCTTGACAAAATTCCTAGTAAAATTCTGTTAAATCCCAAGAATTAGCAGGCTATTGCTGAAATACCACATTATTAAGTGACCTAATGCAGTGTATGCTATGGTGAGGTTTCAATAGACATCAGCAAAATTCTTCTTTGTCAACTTCTTCTCATTTCTTTAGGGCCCGGTGTTGGAGTATGATTTCTTTTAAGAAGAAATACCTCCACAGGTTCTTGACTGAAGTCCGCACGTTTCCTTGGTTGAAAGAGGACTCCGGATTACGTTCCCGAAGTCGAACAATGGAAATAGGATGAGTACCTACAAAAGCCACTCTGACGCTCAAGTCAGTTTTGCGCAACGTACTCTTAATGTTCAATTAGATTTTTCATACCTTTGCTGGAGGTCTAGTTGGGTTTTTATAGCGCTCCGAGGTCTTGGGTTTAGCCCCACTTCCCTAGCTTTGTGCATCCCATCCTCCACTTCATGGTAATGGGATCAGATAAGTGACTTGCGTCTCCCTTGTTCCGCACTCCTCTAGTGGGAGGGGAGGGAAGTTCGATCATCCCACGTCTTTTAGTTGTGGCATATGGGTAGGCCATGATGCGTTAGATTTGGTCCCCACAGTGCCCCCTTTTTTCCTCTCTACGCGCTTCGCGGGTGGAGAGGGAAAAATGATCTAAGTGGGACTTTGGAATACGATTTCTTCGGATTGAGCGCATGTCACTATGATGGACTCATGGCTGAGCCCGAAATAAGCCATACTTTCCTTTCTTGGGCTTGCTGGTCAAGCCCAAAAATGTGATTCCCATTGGCCTATCGCCAACTTATTCATGTTGCTCCCACATCTTGCATGTGAAATTCCCAAATGTGAATTTTCATGCACGTTGCTTTTCAAGTTTTGACTATGGACTATTATCCCTTGGAGTATCAGAATGCGGACAGCCAATCCCATGCAGTGGACCCCTTTTTTATTTTGGATTTCTACACCTTTGCCGACCCGGTGGGCCATGCTCCTTAATTTCTCTTTCGTAGCCAATCCCAAATGGATTGGGGTGTGCCTCTAAGCTTTTGCCAATCCTTGGTTCCTCTCTCTTGCCCGATCCCATATGGATTGGGGTATTCTTTCCTCTCTCCTGGCTGATCCCATATGGGTTGGGTTGTGCTTCTAAGCTTTTGCCAATCCTTGGTTTCTCTCTCTTGCCCGATCCCATATGGATTGGGGTATGTTTTTTCTCTCTCTTGGCCGATCCCATATGGGTTGGGGTATGCTTTTCTCTTTCCTGGCCGATCCTGTATGGGTTGGGGTATGCTTTTCTCTTTCCAGGCTGATCCCATATGGGTTGGGGTATGCTTTTCTCTCTCCTAGCTAATCCCATATGGGTTGAGGTATGCTTTCCTCTCTCCTGGCCTACCCCGTACGGATTGGGTATGCTTTTCTCTCTCCTGGCTGATCCCATATGGGTTGGGGTATGCTTTTCTCTTGCTTGGCCGATCCCATATGGATTCGGGTGTGCTTCTAAGCTTTTGCCAATCCAGTGAGTCCTATACTTGGTTTTTCTCTCTTGACCAATCCCACGTGGATTGGGGTGTGCTCCTGGTCAATCCTTGGTTTCTTTCTCCTGGCCGATCCCATCCCCAGCTTTGGTTTTGAGCTCTCATCACTCTAGTGGGTCCCAGTACCCTTTAGCTGTCTTTCCAAACTCGTGCGCCTTCGGTCTCTCAACCTATCCAAGGTGTTCGTGACTTTTTTTTTGCACTTCGGCTATCAATTCGGGCCCCAGTACCCTTTAGTTGTCCTTCCGAACTCGTGCGCCTTCAGTCTCTCAACCGATCCAAGGTGTTCGCGACTTTTTTTTTGTTTTTTGTTTGTTTGTTTTTTACGCGCTTCGGCTATCAATTCAAGTCCCAGTACCCCTTAGCTGTCCTTCTGAACCCATGCGTCTTCGATTTCTCGAATAATCCAAGGAGTTCACAAACCTTTTTTTTGTTGTTGTCCTTTTCTTTCCTTTTTCCTTGTGCTTTAGCTTTCCATACTCTATTCTTTCCGTGAAGGGGTGAACATGCCTAGCTTCGTAGGTGTACTTAGTACCTTGCACTACTTATTGCCTACCTCTACTGCTCTTCTTTGTCTTTTGTCAAAGTACACGCAACTTTCCACTAGGGGAGCGCATGCGTTGGGGTAGAAATAATTTCGAGTGGTCGTATCAGACCGGGCTTTGTTATTGGCCTAAGTCCGGTGGTGTCCTATCGAACTATGAGATACTTAAGGCTCACACCAAGGGATGTGTTCCCGACAAAGTAGGGATCGATCCTCTTCCTCTTGGGTGGAACATGTACACCAGTGCCGGTATCCCTCAAGGTTCCTTAATTCTTTCATCGGCCCACTTAGAGCATGTTAGGTTTCCGCTCCATCCTCTCTTTCATATGCTCATGTTCTTCTTGGATCTTCACCCTATGCAACTAAACCCGAATTCTTACCTTTTCATATCTAGGTTTCTGGCCCTTGGCTTGAAGTGGGGTGTGTCTCTTAGCTTTAAGGATTTCATTTACCTCTATGACTTGGCTTGTGTTAGAGGGGAAAGTCACTATTTCTTTTTTACGTCTGGGGCTGGTAAAAAGGTATTTACTTGTAAGCCCACTTCCACCAAGTATTGGAAAAGCCAACCTTTTTTAATCACTGGGAGTGGGCGGTGACTGAGATGTCTAACATGCCTATCTCGTCTGCTTTTGGCCCAAAACCTGGTATACATATTTATGTCTTTGAAATATAGCGTGTTGCGTTTCCGCAGGTCTAACTAACCTCTTCTTTTGGTAGGACTTCCTTCGGACAAAAGATATCTCCTTCCTGAGGACCGGATAGCTTGGTTGGAGGAGAACTTGGTCGGTCAAAGGTGGGATATCACACACTTCGTCGATCCTGTGACTTTCACTCGTCTCTCCACTGCTCGCCGTACAATGACTTACCTTCCGTTCACTTTGGCTGATTCAAACCTGTACGGGATAGACTTGTTCAAGGACATTTGTTTCGTCGACGTTGAGCTTTGTTGCACTGAGGATTCAGCGTCTCGTATCCAGGCCAGCTTTCAAGAAAGGGAGGCCGAGTTGGCTCAGCACAGCAGCTCCGAGGACTGTGCATCCGAGTCTGAGTTCGATCAATCAGATATGTCAGCACCACGCTCATTGTCAGTCCCAGGCCGTAGGGAAAGAAGGCCGAGAAAAGAGCCTGAGCTCTCCGGGTCTGCGAAGAAATACCGTTATGCTTCATAGGTTGTTTTGGGTTTGGATTCACCAAATGTGTTTGCTTCGAGCACACCATCCCGACCTCAACAAGTCCCTCGCGCCGCCACTCCTGCTAGCTCGTTGGGAGAGAACAACCTTACGTCCATGACTGACGAATATGTGGGGTTATCAATCACAGTGCTTGAACACGGTACGCTTAGGATTCGCATCCAATTGCTGTATCATAGCTGTATGTTTAATGCCCACTTTTTATTTCTCACATATGGTTAGGATTCGCAGTGTGCAAATGGCGAGGTTTCAGGTTATGAGTCGTGAGATATGTGAAAAGACGGCGACCCTTGAACTTAATGGGAAGCGCATCAAGGAATGTGAGGTTGAGCTTGAGCAGCAGCGGGGCGAGCTGTGAACTCTGAAAAGTGGCCAAAACACTATACTGATGGAGGTTGACAGCCTTAAGCAAGAACTGGTGGATGCTGCACGCAATAGGGATGAGGAGTATCAACCTAACACCAAGCAGATCAAGGTCGAGATGGCCAGACAATTCAGATACAGTTGGGTCCAAGGTCAACAACTTCCTGAGCATCGGTTTGTGGTGGGCCCAGATGACTATGATGATGAGTTGAAATTTGACCCCGCTGGCTACGAACTATTCTAGGGTATGCACCCTGCAAATCGTCCTCCTGCGGATTATATCACCCATTGCAGGACCCCACCAGCAGCCTTTCATGGGCTAACACATTCTAGGTCGGTTGGGACCATTGTCCCTAGTGCTAATGCTGCATCGTCTATTGCCAGTACTGGGCCTATCCTTTGATTTACGGGCTTCACCTCACCTGCTGGATTTTCCACTTGTGTTGGGCCTACCTCAGAGGTCATTCCCGACCCATTTGATGATGTGCCCTAGGTTGCCTTGTTTCATTCAATACTGGTTGTAATTTTTTTTTTCGGTTCTGTCTTTGGCTTGATGTTGGATCACGATCCTAGAATTCTAGACTTGCTTTATTAGGTTTTATGAGTTATCCACTTGATTTGAATCTTAACCATAACGTAATTACCTGAGGCTTAGCATGTGGTTTTTCAAACCTAGCCAAGATCCTCCCAAGGTGTACCGTTATTTTCAAATTCAAAAAGCAAGGGATTGGATATTCTATCGTCCCCGCATTACGACCTTATCAGGCGTCCTCTACGTCTCTAAGTAAGCCTCTATATAAAGGGTAATTCAGTTTTCAGGTGAACATACCTATCCCACTTATGGCTCATAGACGCAAGCTAAAGCTCTATTTCCGCCTTTGCACAGATGTTCGGAAGAAAGGAGACTCTCCGAGGAGGAGGACTTTGTCTCTGTCAAGGAGGGAATCCCCTAAGCGAGATTCCAAGAGCCTGATGGGACCATTGAGATATGCTCTCAGGATTCCTCCAACTCTCCGGCGGATGTTTCAGATTATTCGGCAGTTCCCGATTCGTTCCGTGGGTCCAGGTCATGATCTGGTGATATCAGAGGTGGGGGAAAGGCTACTATGAGAAGGAGTACCCTAAGGGCACGGGATGAAGCTGGTCCGTCTTATGCCCCACGCTGCTCCTGTCACTTCGACCATAACATGCTGCTAATGGAGCGAGACCTACTCAAGGAGGATCTAGCATGCATTAGTGCCCAAGTGACTCACCTTTGGAGTGATCTTGCTGATGCGGATCGCGCTGTGTCTGCAGCTTATTCCGACGGCATATGTGATAGATTTAGATAGGGTATCCACCACTTCCGCACTAAGGCAAAAATGGTTTACCCTTACGTGGATAGAGATTGTCTTCCCTTGCCATGAGACTAGCCCATGTTACTCATGGGTTTGCACCTGTAAATTCAGTAGTTTTATGCATTTTTCAGCTTTGAATAATTTGGAGGCATTCCTCCTATAAACATTTCATGTTTCTCCTTTTGCGGCCATAAGAGCCTAATGTTATTGTTATGTTTAATCATGCGGTCTCCGACCTTGTCACATGCGTATTCTTATTCATGTTGCTTGACGCCTGACCATGTCATGGTCCCCGATCATGTCGTAATATCTTATTACTTCTTTACGTGCGATTTCCAATCGTTTCTTTATGCGTGATCTTCGACCACGTCTTGATTGCGATCTTCAATCGTACTTTTGTTTCTTGGCCAAGCGCCTTACGTGTTCGTGGATTAGTATATGCATTTTCTTGTTTACAAGGTCTTCGACCACGTGAATTCAGGTAATGCTAATGGTCTTCGACCCAACAATTTGAATGTGAAGAGAACATGCGTTCCATTAAGCGTTCATCGAACGATGGGCAATTTAGGGAAAATTCACAAATAAGCGAAAGATGAAAGCAAAAAAGAAATGAAAACTATAAAATCAAATGAAATACTTCCTCAGATGAATTGCATTCCAAGGGCGTGGTACATATTGACCGCTCTCGATATGCCTCAGCATATAGGCTCCTTTTCCATAAGCCTCAATTACCTCGTACGATCCTTCCCATGTTCGTCCAAATTTTCCTGCGTTTAGGTCCTTGGTATTCTCCATGACCTTTCTGAGTACCCACTCACCTACTTTGAATTTCCTCTGTCGTACTCATTTATTAAAGTAATTGGCTGCCTAGTTTTGGTAGTTCGCAAGTCGTAACGACGCGGCTTCTCGCTGTTCTTCAAGCATGTGAAGGTTGTGAGCTAACTGTTGCTCATTATCATTGCTCTCTACCACCAGTGTCCTGACTGTGGGTAGTCCGATTTCTGTAAGGATGACGGCTTCAGTTCCATAAGCTAAGGAAAAAGGGGTTTCGCCGGTTGGTTTCCTTTTGGTAGTGCGATATGCCCACAATACATTTGGCAGTTCCTCTGACCATTTGCCTTTGCGTTGTTCAAGCCTTTTCTTCAGGCAATCAAAGATCGTACGATTAGTTTTCCGGCCTGCCCGTTTCCTTGAGGGTAACTTCGGGACGAGAACTGTTGAATGATCCTTTTTTCCTCGCAGTAACTTCTGAATTTACGATTATCGAATTGGGTTCCGTTGTCCGTCACGATGGCCCTTGGTATCCTAAAGCGACAAATTATATTACCACGTCTGTTTGGGTCACTGTCTTGTAAGCCTCGGCTTCCACCCACTTGGTGAAGTAGTCAGTGGCCAAAAGGACGAACTTCTTGCTCCCTGCTGCAGTGGGAAGTGGTCCTACGATGTCCATCCCCCAATGGGCGAATGGCCAAGGCCCTACAACAAGATTAAGTTCATCGGCTGGTTGTCTGATAAGGGGTGCATACCTTTGACATTTATCGCATCGTGGGCCATGTAAGGCAAAAAATATCCTTGGGTCAGCGCTTTGTGGGCTAAGCTCCTTCCACCCGTGTGGTTCCCACATGTCCCTTGATGAATTTCTTTTAGCACCCATTCGGCTTCACGTGGATCGTGGCATCTGAGATATGGCCCTGAAAAAGACTTACGAAAAAGTGTATCATCTATGATGGCGTACCTTGCGGCCTTTATTCGCAATTTCCTTGCTTCGATCGGGTCATTAGGTTGGGTTCCCTTCGTGATATAGTTCATGATTGAAGTCACCCACGTTTATTCTTCAGCATCAATCTGCATAACTCCAAGATTAATTTGTATATTGGGAGGATCAATTGGTATACTGGGATTCGATAAAAGTTCCACTGGGCCGACCCTCATGTCTTCCATCGATGTTGATGCGGCATGGGCTAAGCCATTTGCCTGAACATTCATTTCTCTCGGTATTCGTTCAAACTCTATTTTTTCAAACATGCTGGCTAAATCCTTTACCAACCGCTAATATGCCCTCATTCGTTCATCCTTAGTCGCATATTCCTCAGTTGTCTGGCCGACTATGAGGCGAGAGTCGCTATGGACAACTAAGTGTCCCACCTTCAACGTCCTGGCTAGTTATAGCCCTATCACCAGGGCTTCGTATTCCGCCACGTTGTTTGAAGCGGGGAAGTCTAATCAGACGGAGTACTCCAGGTCCACCCTTTCAAGCGACGAAAGGACGATTCCCACTCCGGCTCCCGCTTGATTAGATGATCCGTCAACATACAATTCCCATTGGGCCTTATCTGGGTTTGGTACCTCCTTGATTTCATTATGGTTTTTCCGTTGTTTGTTAGGTGGATAGCATTCTACTAGGAAATCGGCAATTACCTAGCCCTTCTGGGCTGTCCGAGGTTGATATCTAATGTCGAATGCTCTAAGCTCGATGACCCACTTTGTAACTCTTCCTGAGAGGTCTGGTTTGGACATGACCGCCCTGATTAGTTAGGTCGTTAATACGATGATTGTGTGTGCCTCGAAGTATTGTCGAAGCTTTTGCTTGGCCGTCACTAAAGCTAGCACGAGTTTCTCAGCTAGTGGATATCTCTTCTCGGCCTCAATTAAGCTTTTGCTCACATCAAATATGGGTTGCTGGATTGAATTTTCCTCCCTTAGCAATACAACGCTTACAACCATTTCAGTGATAGCCATGTATATAAAGGTTCACCTTGCTTTGGAATGGTCAGGGTTAGGGGATTGGCGAGGTACTTCTTCAGCTACTCGAAGGCTTCTCTTTGTTCTGGCCCTCATACGCTTCTGTCCTTGTTTCGAATTGCCTGGAAGAATGGCTTACAACGATCTGACGATCTTGAAATGAACCGGCTGAGAGTCGTTATTCGCCCAGTTAGAACCTGCACATCCCTAGGTGTTCTTGGGTCAGGCATACTTCGCAGTGCCTCCACCTTCGATGGGTTGGGCTTGATGCCTCGCTTGTTCACTATTTGCCCTAAGAACTGCCCTGAAGAAACGCCGAATGCGCACTTCTTTAGGTTAAGCTGCATGCAGTATCTTCTCAGTATATTGAAGACTTCTTCCAGGTGCCTGATATGTTGGGATTTTTCCTGGCTCTTGACAACCATGTCATCGATGTAAACCTCCATTGTTTTGCCGATCTGGCTTTTGAACATCTTGTTTACTAATCTCTAATGAATTCGGCCTCGAGTAATCGGTTCACTTCATCGCTAATAATTTGGTTCCGCTGAAGTGTGAACCTCCTCTACTTCTGCTAGTACGAAGGGTGGTTTGGGTCAACATTCAATCAATGACACGTGATCTCCGAGTCGATCCCCAGCATGTCTATATGTGACCACGCGAACACATCCTTATTCTCTCTTAATAACTTCATTAGTTGTCCTACCTTATCTTCAGATAGGAGGGATCCAACCAACACTTTTCTATCAGGATAAGAAGGATCTAGAACTTCCTCTTTGAGTGGTTCGATCGTCGGAAGCTCTGAGTTATCCTCTTCCTCTTGTTCTGGTGGGTCCTTCATTAATTGCTATAAATCCTCGCTCTGCTACGAGGTCGCAGCCTTAAGATTAGTTGTTATGATGTAGCATCTTCTGGCCTCCACTTGATCCCCTTTGATATCAACTGTGGTTTTGCCATCCTCGGATATGCATCTCATCACTTGGCAACGTGTCGATGCTTCTCCATCCATTCGGTGAATCTAATTACTTCCCATTATAGCATTATATGCGCTCGGCGCATCCACAAGTACCGAAGTAACGAGTAGGGTCTTACCTGCGGCAATGACCTGTAGAGTCACGTCTCCAATCAGTTGTGCTTTCGTCCCTTCAAATGCGTAGATCGGTGTTGGGTTTGGTCGACTCTCCTTTTCATCCAGCTTCATTCTTTGGAAGGTGCTCCAGAATAAGATGTCTGCGGTACTCCCCCCGTCGATCATCACTCTTTTTACCATCGAATTGGCAATGCGGAGGGTCACCACTAATGCATCATTGTGAGGGAACTCAATTCCTTCCATGTATTTCTGCGTGAATGAGATGACTCTAATATTTTCCAAGGCTTTGGCAGATTTAGAGGCGAATATGATTCCATTTATGCATCTCACCTTTTCAGCCTGTCTTTTTTCGAATCGGGATTGAGCCCATTTTCCTTCCACGGGATTCGGTCGACTATGGATGGTGTTGATCTCCAGTAGTTCTTCGTTTGCGATATTTCCGGTCATTATTTTTGACCCACCCTCTTCACTTGCCCTACTCTCAGGTTCAGCGCGGTACTGGGATAACATTCCTTTTCTCAGCATTGCCTCCACTTGATACCTAAGACTTCAGCACTCATTAGTGGTGTGTCCAAAGTCGTTATGATGGGTGCACATCTTGTTCCTATCTCGCTTCTCTGGGGATTTGCATATCGCAGGTGGTGTTCGAAATATACCTTTGCCCTTGTTCTCGTGAAAAAGTTTGGCTAAACTCACCGTGAGCTTGGTGAAGGGTCGGCTTTGCTTAGGTCTATTGCTAGATTCTTGTCTCGAAGGATATCGCCTCGTTTCCACTTTTTGCTCCGGCGGAGGCTTTGGGACCGCAATGGTGGAAGTGGCGCGTTTTGATTGGGTGAGCTCTTCTTCTTCCAGTCTGATGACTCCATCTGCCCGGGCCATAACTTCCCTCATATCCATTGGTGGGGTCTTCACTAAAGACCTGTGCATTTTTATTCCAGGTATGACCCCTTCACGAAACGCCAGTGAAGCATTATGAGAATCACATTCCTCAAGAGTAGACATTTCCTCCGTAAAACGCCTCAAGTAATCTTTAAGGCTTTCTCCGGTACTCTGCTTCGTGCTGAATAGAATCGTGACGTCCTTTCTTCTCTTTTGATTGCAAATGTACTGGGATATGAACATCTCACAGAGTTGGGTGAAACCGCCAATAGACCTTGGTTTCAGCTGTCTAAACCAAATCAGGGCCGACCCTGACAAGCTTGAGGGGAACAACTTACATAACAGGGCCTCGTCATCTCCTTCGAGCACCATTTGTTGTTGGAAATGATAGATGTGTTCAATGGGATTAGTCGTGCCTTCGAACAACTTAAACTTAGGTTGGGTGAACTTAACTGGCTTCTTGGCGTTTAGGATGTCTTCCTTGAATGACGACTTGCAGATTCCTTTCGCCGCTTCTAGAGCTAGTTCAACGAGTGTTTGCGGCTTGTACCCTCTAACAATCTTCTCGATCTGACTGTGCAAATCGGTGTCCTTAGCCTTTTTCACCATCTTATGCAAGTCGAGATCTCCGTCTTGATCTTCCGCCGTGGCCCTGTCACGGACACTTGAGTGTGTGATGTTGGAAGAGTCTCCCTCAGAGATCTCATGTCTCTGTTTCCTCTTGCCCTCTTTTGAGCCCCCACGACAAGCAGTGTTTTGCACATTCTCCAGAGCCTTTTCCGCTACCTTTCTTGTTTCGCGCAACTCCTTCATGATTTCCCTCAATTGGATAACAGCAAGGCTTGGTTCCCCATCTTGGGCGTTGGACCTTGCGCTTCCGGATCGAGGAGTGGACATCGCATTCCCGGGACGGAGGTGTTTGGAGTTCCCTGTGCAGGTTCAGTCGTGTTTATGATCAGCTTTGCGAGATTCCCGCAGACGGCGCCAACTGTTGGAGCAGGATTTCTTTCAAGAAGAAATACCTCCACAGGTTCTTGACTGAAGTCCGCATGTTTCCTTGGTTGAAAGAGAACTCTGGATTACGTTCTCGAAGTCGAACAATGGAAATAGGATGAGTACCTGCAAAAGCCACTCCGACGCTCAAGTCAGTTTTGTGCGACATACTCTTAGTGTTCAATTGGATTTTTCATACCTTTGCTGGAGGTCTAGTTGGGTTTTTATAGCGCTCCGAGGTCTTGGGTTTAGCCCCACTTCCCTAGCTTTGCGCATCCCATCCTCCACTTCGTGGTAATGGGATCAGATAAGTGACTTGCGTCTCCCTTGTTCCGCACTCCTCTAGTGGGAGGGGAGGGAAGTTCGATCATCCCACGTCTTTTAATTGTGGCATATGGGTTAGGCCATGATGCGTTAGATTTGGTCCCCAATGGATTGATTGCAAATTTAAGAAGAAAAGGAAGAAAACAAATGGAATTCAAATAATTTCTTTCAAATGTAGTCATTTGAAATGTACCACATCTAATTATTTCAAATACCATGCCCGTAGGCCTTTGGGCTCGACCTCTTGGCATAGTCTTGATTTAGGCCCGACTTTAATCCACTGGGTCTTTAAATTCAGGTCAGCTTCTCTCAAGTGGGTCTTAAAAGGAAAATTCTGGAATAAACACCTTAAGAGTAGATTTCGCCCCTCAAAGACGATGTCTCGGTGCATTGTCATCATTTCATATTATGTCAAGAATTTGGTGTGATGGCCCCTTTTTGCAAATTAATAGCTAACAATTTTCCACATTATCAACAAATGAATTCACAAAATCAATACACCAATTAAAACAATTAAACTATAAGATAAAACATCTCCAACAGCCTCTTCAACAGCATGAAATTATAAAATCGGTGAGCCACATCAGAAAAACTCTCTCCAACATCTTATTCAACCTCAGTCATCAAAGTTGCAACCTCTTTCTCTCTCTTTAGGATGATAAGTTGACTTTGGCTATTCAAACATTTAATTTTACTTTGGAAAAACAAAACCTACCTTGAAAATGTTAAAAACATGTTTTTTTTTCTTTTCATATAATAAATACATAGACATTTTTCACATTTTTTCATATTTTTCTATGGTATTTAATTAATTGAATTGAAGAGTATGTTGTCGTCTCTCTCTCTCTCAAACCCTCAATTCTCCCTTCTCTTTAAGCAAGGCGTGGTAGGGGAGGGGGAGGAGGCCACTCCTCCTCCTCCTCATCCTTTTCCTCCTCTCTTCCTTTCTCAATCTCTCTTTCTCCTAACTTTCTACTCTGCTTGTTAGACAGTCTGACGTATCATGTTTTTAATGTCAATCCAATTACATATTCAAATAAGAATTCACACAATTAATAATTCAAGTTGAAAGCTTTGACAATGTAACAAACATTAAAAAAAAAGTATTTTCTATTAAGTAGAAGGTTTTCCTTATACAACTGCGTACTTAGAGTCAGAGACTAGCTTTGTTATTTTAAGTCTTCTCAAGTAACCAACAACAATCTGATTCACCACAATTCAACCAAGAAAACCAAAATTGGTCCAAACAAAAGACAGAGATACAAAAATGATCTACAACAAAGAAAAAGTCTTTGGAATTTGGAGGGAGCTGAAATTGGACTTCATTTGAATTGTAGCCTACTCATTGCAAAATCGAATCACATTTCAAACATCACCAATGCAACACAAAATATCACAAGAACCAAGAATCGTCACATTACCATGTATCTAGACAGCAGTCTCATATCAAAGCCAAATAACTTTGCGTGAAAGAAAAGAGAGCACATTTTCTTGATAAACTCTCAGATGTCATACGTCGTATATGGTTTTCAAGCTACAATGTCAAACAGTTGAAAGAGCACCTAGCCTAGTCTAGAAAGAACATATTGTGTATATATATATGCGTAAGACTTAGTACGTTCAGATATTTTTGATTCAGTATGTAATGACGTTTTTACTAAGAATACTTTAGAAGAATGCCTCTCTCTTTTCTTGTAAATCACGATTGACACCAAAATATGAATTCATACTTTCAAAAAAGGAGGTAAGTATTTTCCTTTATTTAAATCGGTATTTTTCCTACCCGGCCTTTCGCTTTAAATTATATAAAAGACCAATCAATCCTTGAGGTAAATGGAAAAGGATTTCTATGATGCCAAATTGCAGTAAAGTAGAGAAAAATAATAATAAATATTTGGAATTTGTGAACATTTGTAGGTAGAAGCCTCATGATGACTTTTGTAGACTAAGTCCTTTCTTGTTTACCAACCAAAACTAGAAATGCATATATAAAATCGAGGAGATGACAAAGCGTTGCGCTCACATATATAATCGAACATTCTGTGTACATAATTTCAAAGTCACCAAGACTTTCTGTAAAATAATTAGTATACAAATATATTTCGGAATCAAAGCTCCAACAAGAGTAGACAATGTCATGCATATACTACGTACAAAATATTTGAGCTAGATCATGCTGGGAATTGCCTGATTATCAAATTAATGTATTTGAATTAGGGTTCTAATTCCCCTCCATAAACATTTATAAACTTCTAGAATGAAACGTTTTACGAATATTTTACACAATAATACATGGTGATAATCATATTGAATTGGAGTTTGTAAAAGATGAAGGTTTTTAATTTTATTTTGGCCTGAATTTAAGATAAAGAAGTTGATGACATCCGAAGAAACATGTCAAAAGTGTGATTATTTTTTGGAGAATAGCCTAAATAAATGCTGTTTTTTATAGCAAAAATGACAATATGTAAAGGACAATACTTTCCTCCTTCTCTAGAAGATGACATTTCTACTTCTTACAGATCACAGTTTAACATATATGCAAAAATAATTCGTCAAAAACATAAAAAGAAAATCTCTACACATATGTCAAATGTCAAACCGTGATTGACGGAAAAGTAAAACTTCTTATTTTCATAAAAGAAGGCAAGTATATCTATAAATTTGGAAAATGAAATCAGCTTGTCTGTTGTCGTGTGGACTTGATGTGGCTTACAATGCGTGCAATTAGAAACAAATGTTAAATTCAAATGTTTTAATGACTCAATCATACAGCTCTAAAGGAAGAAAAAAAAAACTCTTCATGTGTCATGAACTTCGAGGAAAAAATGGAAATAAAGCTGTATACGTTATATCTATAGCACTGCCAATACAGTAAGATATGCTAAGAACTTGAGAAAGATCATGTTTACAATGCAGTACATGGCATGCCAAGCTTCCACTACTTCAAATTATAATGCAAATAATTAGTATACAGATATTGCGGGAAGGTGAAGGTGGACCTAAAAACAAACAGCCCGGAACCTTTTTCCTTATTTGGACCTATCGGCGTACCCGAGCGGTCCATTTAACAATTAACAACTCCCACATATATTTGGGTGGGGTTGGTGATCTGAGAAGAAGAATAGATAAATAAAAAGATTTATTTAATTGTTAGTTGTTTACTCGGTCATCCAAATTCTAGTGTCCTAGCTAGGTGTTAGCTTATAGGTATATGTATATGTATATTTCTATAAAAAAATATGTATATAGAGTTTCGGTAGAGAAGTTCGGTTGATAAACAGTTTTGTAGGACTCAATCCGCATTGTATTTTAATAATTCAAACATTTGTTTTTAAGTATGGTGACAATCTTTATGCAAAATTACGTTGGGTTTCTAAGCTTAATATTGATATGAATAAAAAATATATTAAAAAAAGCTTAATATTGGCATCCATGCATACGAGTACGACGACCGCGTATAAATAATCGTCGTAGTCTTCGTATAGTCTTCACCTCACCAGCCAAGTTCTAAATTTGTCAACTGCTTACATATAGAAGCAATATATATATATAATAGAGCCACCTCTCCACCCACCTAATGTCAATTGCTGAATATAAAACTCCACCTTGTTTTTTTTTTTCCAGAGAAATATGGATTCTTGTTGAACGAGGAGTATTACTGATTTAATTCAACTGTACATGTTGGATATTTGGATAATTTGGACCGTTGCTACACTAATCCACGCACGTTGATGACTAACGCTAGTAAAACTCTTAGATTTATAGGATTATGTTTGCCATTTTGATTTATTTAGTCTCCACCATGCATCATATATGGGTGGTTGGGTGTCACTAAATTATCGAACCTCATGTACCAATGGCATGGCAATAGCTGAATAGTATGATATGAGGAGCCCACAAAATGACTCAAAAGAAATTGGAAAGGAAGTGGGTACGGCCGATCACAACTGAATACTATTCAAGGCACGTGAAATATAATATTCTGACTATTTTAATAATTCTTTAAGAAAAATAGAGAATTTTCATCCTCTTGTGCATGTATAAATATCCACAGAACTTATCAAAGGAAACAAATCACACCAGTCCTCCTAATCATACTTCCAAAATCTCTCCCTTTTGGCAAGGGAAAAAAAAAGAAAGAGATTTTTATTTCCAAGCATAAAGTAGAGGAAGTGGGGAAAAGTCAAGAGAATAATTTTTCAAACTCCACCAACCCATTTCCTCTGCTCCCTGCTCAGTTTCCAGAGGAGAGAAACCAAACCCCTTCCCCCTTGTCATTCATCAAACACCAAATAAGTAAGTTCTTGCTTTTAGTTCTTCATCCCTTGTTTGGTTGGCAAGAAAAGTTCACACCTTCAACTAAAAACCAAGAATTTGGTGTTGAGCCCAGTTGAGGTATTCTGTTTCCTTATTTAGAAACCCAAATTTCAATTTTCTCATAAACAAACAGAGCATAAAGCTATTCCATTTTTGCTAAATTCTTTTTTTTTCTTAACATTTCAGAAGGGTAAGTCAAAAATGGACGGAACAGAGAAAATGAAAGGTTCACAATCACATCAGAGGCACCATAGCCATAGCAGGAGCATAAGCAGGAGTTTTAGCAGAGCAAGTTGGAGAATGGAAGAAGTGTTTGTGAGTGCCTCGCACTCTCGGAGAAGCAGCCACGCGGATGAAGATGAAGAAGCTCTGAAATGGGCAGCCATTGAGAAACTGCCCACATATGATCGGCTAAGAACAAGCATCATCAAGTCCTGTGTGGAAACAGAACCTCAAGGACAACACCACAACAACAACAAAGTGGTGCATAAGGAGGTTGACGTTCTAAAGCTCGACATAAACGACCGTCAAGATTTCATTGACAGGATTTTTAAGGTTGCAGAGGAAGACAATGAGAAGTTCTTGAAAAAGTTCAGAAGTAGAATTGATAAGTAAGTTCTACCATGATTACACTCTTACGTGCAACCGGGTGTATATTTCTTTTTTTCTCTCTCTCTCTCATCTCTTCTTTTTGTTGATATTTAGTAGAAAACCATTTTTAATAACTCATTAAAACATTTACTCTTTGAGTAAATAATCACATCTCTCACAAAAGTGAAACTCACTTGCAGTCTCACTTATGCTAGAGAAGAGACATAATTAAGAAGAAAAAAAATAGTTTAGTATATTATTATCGCTTCTCTTAATAGGAAAGGTCTTAAAAAAAATTATGAATGAAACAGACGCAATGCATATGCCTCTCGCATTAATGGATGTAGGACCTACTAATATTTGTGATTCATGTAACATTTCAGGGTAGAGGTGTTCGGCCTTTAGAATTTGTTACATGAGAGATTGATGATGCATCAACAATGTCATCCATGTATCATTACTTAGATATGGTTAAGTTTTATTTAATTAATTAATTGCATGGTCGCTTTCATACATAATTTACCATTGATCGCTTTCGTTTGTCGTTTCTTTGACCTTGATTAGAGGCCAAATGGAACATGAAGATGTGAAAAACAAAAACTAGCTTAAGTCGCTGTCATGGTGAGCATAGTAGAAGGCTTGTGATGCAAGCCGAATACTAATTTATGAGTTCTATATCCAATCTTAACTTTATTTTATTGTTTTGTTTTCGGGATATATATTCCATCATGCTTGTATCATTTTCTCATGAAGGGTTGCTTAATATTGTGTCTCTTTCATTAATTTCCCAAGGGACAAACAATTAGGTCAAGAAAAGAACTTTCAGGCTGCTCTTTTATTGTAAAGGGAATCAAATTGGAGCATATTAATTATGGTTAATTAATTAATTAATTAATTAATTAATTTGCTCATGTGTTGTAATTGATTTCAGGGTTGGGATCAGACTTCCAACAGTGGAAGTTAGGTTTGAGCATTTGAACGTTGAAGCCGATTGCCATGTCGGCAGCAGAGCTCTTCCCACCCTCCCAAATGTTGCTCGGAACATTGCAGAATCAGCTCTTGGCTTAATTGGGATTAGATTGGCTAAGAGAACAAAGTTAACAATTCTCAAAGAAGCCTCTGGCATTATTAAACCATCAAGGTAAGGTTTACGGTAACTAATTAGATGAGGTCATTAGTTATTGATTTTGATTAATTAGAGTTTTTGTAACTTTTTTTTTTGGGTTGTAGGATGGCCCTTTTACTAGGTCCCCCATCCTCAGGGAAAACAACCCTTTTGCTGGCACTAGCTGGGAAATTGGACCCAGCCTTGAAGGTCAGGGGTCAAAAGACACTGTTAATAAAATAGGGTTTATGACAATAATAATAATAACATTTTTTAAAATTATTTATTATTTATAAATATTGAACAGGTTAAAGGAGAAATCACTTACAATGGGTACAAGCTGAATGAATTTGTGCCACAGAAGACATCTGCATACATTAGCCAAAATGATGTTCATACAGGAGTTATGACAGTCAAAGAAACCCTAGATTTTTCAGCAAGGTGCCAAGGGGTTGGTACTCGATATGGTAACTCACCAAACCCAAACTCAAACTCAAATTTGGCTCTCTTTATTTATTCATTCATTTATTTGTAATTTTGGAAATGAATTTGATAATAATTTTAAAATTATATTCGTTGGATTTTATATATGTAGAACTTCTTTCTGAACTTGCTAGAAGAGAAAAGGCCGCTGGAATATTTCCAGAGCTAGAAGTGGACCTTTTCATGAAGGTATATAATACTTGTATTCATAAGATTTATTTATCCAACGTTTGGACGTCCGTGTAGGAGAATTTCTGTAATCTAATTTTTTTTTTGGCAGGCCACTTCAATGGGAGGAATTGATAGCAGTCTCATTACTGATTATACTCTAAAAGTAAGTATTTCTTAATTATATTTTTTTTTCTTCAAATTAATTATTAAAGGTGGTGACAAAAAAGAAAAAGTGCCACTGCCTGCCTGGTTTGCTTTCATATTCATTATGAAGAGATTTTCCACAACCAGATCATGAAAGGCACAGGTCACCAACAGATACCAAGTCAAATTAGATTTTGTTATTGTCAAAATTTTCTCCTCACACACTTACTTTTCTGACTGCCGTCGATCTGAACACATTCTTGGATAATGAGGGCCCTTCTTTGCACTTTGGTTGGTGACCAACCATGTTTTCAATACCAATTTACTAAAACACCCTTTACAATGTCTTGCTGATTAAAATAGTGATGAAACGCATGACCTCGTGTAATTGCTGACATGATTTTGGAACAGATTTTGGGACTTGATATTTGCAAGGATACAATTGTTGGAGATGAGATGCAGAGAGGGATTTCTGGTGGGCAGAGAAAACGAGTTACCACAGGTCAAATCCCACCTTCGTTTTTTTCTTTTGATTTTATTAACAAAAATGGGTCCTCGTACACTTTGAATTTTCTTTGTCTTTGAGATAAAAATATTATATATAATCCCCCAATCTAATTAAAATAAAAATATTTTATAGGAATATAATTTTTAATTATTGTAGTTGAAAATTTAAAAAGAGAAAGGGACCCCCTCTTTTTCGTTTTTGTTTTTTTTCCTCTTCATAGAACTATTTCTCGAGTCCTGAAGGGTCTATCTGGGACGGAAAATATTTTAGGAAGATTAATTTAAAGACTTTTTATTATTATTAATAGACAAGTAGAGAATCAAACTTGTGAACTCTTCCGAGTTCCAATGATAAAAAGAGTAATTTAACTACTTATGTAGTACAAATAGAATTTATGAATTCCTTCATCTTTCCAAAGGACCATATGACCATAAGTTGTTGCTAAATCAATTCGAATACCGTAATGGACCAATATCAATCCTAAAAGACATACCTTAATTTATTAATAAGTAGATTCTAATGTATATATTGATCATATGAAGACAACTTTAAACAATTATTTTTTTTCAGGTCTTTTTTTTTCTTTTTATGTTGATTAATTAAATTTATTATCGTACCGTCAAAGTTTTCTGAGAAAATTAAAAATGAAAAATCTCAAATTAGGAGTCATAGTATATTATAAAATAAATATTTCATATAAAATTCATATGTGCAAATTTTTTTTTCGTAAATGTTTTCTTGTATTAAAAAATATTTATGTGCGTACAATGAGTTGACGAGCTCAAATTAATATGGTGAAGTACAGGTGAGATGATTGTGGGGCCTACTAAAACATTGTTCATGGATGAGATCTCAACGGGTCTAGATAGCTCCACAACATTTCAAATAGTGAAGTGCCTGCAACAAATTGTACACATCACTGAGGCCACCATCTTGATGTCCCTACTCCAACCCGCTCCTGAGACGTTCGATCTCTTTGATGACATCATCCTTTTATCGGAAGGCCAGCTCGTCTACCAGGGCCCACGTGAAAACATTTTAGAGTTCTTTGAGAGCTGTGGATTTCGATGCCCCGAGAGAAAGGGGACTGCTGATTTCTTGCAAGAGGTAAAATCTTGATAGGTCTCACTTAATAAATATAATAGGTTGTGATTAGTAGTTGACATGTTGTCGTTTGGTTTGGTTCGGTTTAAGTTTTAAATCACATGTTAAATAATGAAACATCGCTGTTTGAATTAAATCTAGTAAAATAAACAAATTACACTAATTCATTTAATCATCGGATTGGTTCAGTCAGCTCACTTTCTAAGCAATTAAGCAATTTTTTCAGAGAGATGTCATTCAGATACGAATACCTTAGTGATTTTATTTTATTTTTTCATATTAAAAGGTTAATATCAATGTTGAGATGAAATAGTAAAATGATGATACCAAATAAGAAAATGTCATTGTTAAAATAAAAATATGGCAGCTTAGTTTGGTTTAGACAATTTCTAAATGAGCCACTAAACAAATTGCAATTTGGTTCGACTCCATTCAATATTACATTTTTAGTGTAAAAACGAATCAAACATATCCGGGTTTGATTGGATCGGTTTGAATGGTTTGAACAGTTTTAACAGCCCATGAAATTGTGCTAATCTAAATCCATAATTTTGATGGGCCAATTTTCCAACCCATACCTGTGTTAAACATTCTCAGGTTACATCACGAAAAGACCAAGAACAATATTGGAACGACAGAAGGAAGCAATACAGATACGTATCAGTTACAGAATTTGCAAACAGGTTCAAACGCTTCCATGTGGGCATGAGGCTCGAAAATGAGCTCTCAATCCCTTTCGACAAACCTCGCGGCCACAAAGCAGCTCTTGTGTTCACAAGATATTCAATACCCAAAATGGAGCTTCTCAAGGCCTGCTTTGACAAAGAACGACTGCTCATTAAGAGGAACTCCTTCATCTACATCTTCAAGACGGTCCAAATTATAATAGGTGCATTTATAGCCTCCACCGTTTTCTTGAGGACCGAAATGAACACTAGGAATGAAGATGATGCAGCAGTTTATGTTGGTGCACTTATATTTTCCATGATCGTTAACATGTTCAATGGTTTTGCTGAGCTCTCTTTGACCATTGCAAGGCTCCCTGTGTTTTACAAGCACAGAGACCTACTCTTCCACCCTGCTTGGACTTTCACTGTCCCATCTGTCCTGCTTGGGATTCCTATATCCATCTTGGAATCTTGTATTTGGATCGCCATTACATATTACACCATTGGATTTGCACCAGAAGCTAGCAGGTACAAAATTTGTATCCTTTATTTCATTTATGTCTTTGGTTTTTCAAGAAACTCTGAGTTTGAATATGTCAAAATATTTGCAGATTTTTCAAGCATCTATTGTTGGTATTTTTGCTCCAACAAATGGCTTCTGGGATGTTTAGGCTTATTGCAGGAGTCTGCAGGACCATGATCATATCGAACACTGGGGGCTCTCTCACCGTGCTCATTGTTTTCATGCTTGGAGGTTTCATAATTCCTAGAGGTTAGCATGAAACTGAATATTGAATGTAGTTGTCAAAGCAGTCAAAAACCTACAAAAGATGAGCACGGTTAGTACTTCACTGAATCATCAATGAGTTTGCTTCATTTTTTACAGGTGAAATTCCCAAGTGGTGGATTTGGGGATACTGGGTTTCACCTATGACATATGGCTTCAATGCTATGACTGTAAACGAAATGTATTCTCCGAGGTGGATGAACAAACTGGTATGCCATACAAGGCTCTTCCTTGCATGCATCATTGATGAGCTAGATTTGTTTAACAAAAAGGTTAGATTCTAAAATGGACTTCATTGTGTTGCAGGCTTCAGATAATGTTACCAGCTTGGGTGTGGCAGTGCTAAATAACTTTAATGTTTACCCTGACAAATACTGGTATTGGATTGGAGCTGCCGCTATTCTTGGGTTTGCAGTTCTCTTCAACGTCCTTTATACGCTCGCGCTTATGTACCTAAACGGTAAGAATCAACATTCCTTTTATGTCAAACACGGATTTTTTTCTTTTATTTGTTGTTTCAAAGTGAAGATTTTAATGCTCTTGTTTCAATAAACTAGCTCCCGGAAAGCCACAAGCCATAATATCCGAAGAAGTGGCAAACGAAATGGAGGCAGACCAAGAAGAATCAAAGGAAGAACCAAGGCTTAGAAGGCCCCCGTCAAAGAAAGACTCATTTTCTAGATCTTTATCTTCTACTGATGGAAACAACTCAAGTAAGAAACAGAAAACTCTAGGCAATTGAAATGTGAAAATAATTTGTTATCCAAGTTTCTTATTGGACTAAAAATCTTTTAGGAGAAATGACAATCCGGAGAATGAGCAGTCGATCCAATGCCAATGGACTAAGTAGAAATGCTGATTCGTCTCTTGAAATCGCCAGTGGTGTTGCCCCGAAGAGAGGAATGGTTCTACCCTTCACTCCTCTTGCAATGTCCTTTGACAGTGTTAATTATTATGTGGACATGCCCCAGGTAAGAGATATTTCGTTTTCCCTCTACACTCTTTATGAACCTGAAACATCATATTATATTCCAACTTCACTACTTTGTACAATAACAGGAAATGAAGGAAGAAGGAGTGGCAGAGGACAGGCTGCAACTTCTTCGTGAAGTAACTGGTGCATTTAGGCCTGGGGTCTTGACTGCTCTAATGGGGGTCAGCGGGGCTGGGAAGACAACTTTGATGGATGTCTTAGCAGGAAGAAAGACCGGTGGGTATATTGAGGGGGACATTAGAATTTCTGGGTACCCTAAGAAGCAAGAAACGTTTGCAAGAATTTCTGGTTATTGTGAACAAACAGATATCCACTCACCCCAAGTCACTATCAAAGAGTCACTGATTTACTCAGCTTTCCTTAGGCTCCCTAAAGAAGTCAACAATGAGGAAAAGATGGTAAAATCATGCCCTTCAATACTTCTCCGAACAATCCATAGCGTGATTATTTAAATTCTGAAATGCATGCTCTTTGTTTTATGATAATTGCAGATTTTTGTAGATCAAGTGATGGAATTAGTCGAGCTAGACGGTCTCAAAGATGCTTTAGTGGGGCTTCCAGGAATTTCAGGGTTGTCAACTGAACAAAGAAAGAGGTTAACAATTGCAGTTGAGCTTGTTGCTAATCCCTCAATCATTTTCATGGATGAGCCAACATCAGGTCTTGATGCAAGGGCAGCTGCAATTGTTATGAGGACTGTTAGAAACACTGTGGACACAGGGAGAACAGTTGTCTGCACAATTCATCAGCCTAGCATTGATATCTTTGAGGCCTTTGATGAGCTGCTACTGTTGAAGAGAGGAGGACAAGTTATCTACTCGGGACCCTTGGGCCGCAATTCTCACAAGATTGTCGAATATTTTGAGGTATTTTGCCTTCCGAAACTTTTTCATTTTCTTAATGTTGCACAAACAAATAAACAAATGCAGTATTATCTAAGTCCGTACTTATTGATCTATTCCAGGCAGTTCCTGGTGTGACAAAAATCAAAGAGAAGTATAATCCAGCCACATGGATGCTAGAGGCGAGCTCGGTATCAACTGAGCTTCGGCTTAGAATGGACTTTGCTCAATACTACAAATCATCTTCCTTGCACCAGTAAGTAAAAAACAAACCAAAAAGTTTAGAAATACTAATAGTTTGTAGGGTCCAGAATTTGGCTGACTTTTTGGAAATATAAATTCTTCTCTATGACCAGGAGAAACAAAGCTTTAGTAAAGGAGTTGAGCACACCACCAGCAGGAGCAAAAGACCTCTATTTTACTACTCAGTATTCTCAGTCATCATGGAAGCAGTTCACGTCTTGCCTCTGGAAGCAGTGGTGGACTTATTGGCGAAGTCCTGATTATAACCTTGTTAGATTCTTTTTCACCTTGGTAGCTGCACTTCTGCTTGGAACTATTTTCTGGAAGGTTGGCACTAAAAGGTATGCGCTTATCTCTACTTAACTAGTTCAAAACTTCAAGCAGGGCTCTTTTTGCTACAGAAAAAAGCCTCCGAGAGTTTACATACTACTGAGCTATTTGTCTTTGTTCCATATTCAGAGAAAGCACAGCTGATCTTTCCATGATTATTGGGGGCTATGTATGCTGCTGTGCTTTTCGTTGGAATCGATAACTGCGCAACAGTTCAGCCAATTGTTGCGATTGAACGAACAGTTTTCTATCGAGAAAGAGCTGCTGGGATGTACTCTGCATTACCTTATGCACTGGCACAGGTAAGTGAGGGGCCTTATATGCTTACAGTAACTAAAATTTTTCACAAATTAATCATCCAATTCACGAGACATTATTATATCATAGTTTTGTGCTATCAAATTCTCCACCTCAATCTAACTGATTCAAATAAAACCATATATATGGCTTGCAGGTCATTGTGAAATACCATATGTGTTTATTCAAACTACATATTATACAGCGATAGTGTATGCTATGGTGAGCTTCCAATGGACAGCAGCAAAGTTCTTCTGGTTCTTCTTCATCAACTTCTTCTCATTCCTTTACTTCACATACTACGGAATGATGACCGTTTCCATCACACCAAACCACCAAATAGCAGCCATATTCGCAACAGCATTTTATTCGGTCTTCAATCTCTTCTCAGGTTTCTTCATCCCAAGACCCGTAAGTAGTAGTTTCTTCTTCCCACAAGCACCTACTTTCAAATTCAATTATAAAAAAACTCATGTGATTTCTTGGTTAACATTACCAAAATGGTGACCAAGTAATCGAAACTCATTAAACGTATGCTAATGCGAAGTTCTTTAACTTTGGAATTTTCAGAGAATACCCAAGTGGTGGGTTTGGTACTACTGGATCTGTCCAGTGGCATGGACAGTGTATGGATTGATAGTGTCGCAGTATGGTGATATTGAGGAACCCATTAGAGCACCTGGGATCACACCTAACCCTACTGTGAAAGGGTACATAGAAGACCATTTTGGATATGATCCAAACTTCATGGGACCAGTGGCTGGGGTTCTGGTTGGCTTCACACTCTTCTTTGCCTTCATGTTTGCCTACTGCATAAGGACACTGAACTTCCAAGTTAGATAGAAACATTCTTGTTATATTGTACGTGTTATATATGCTACAGAAAGTGAGACATGTAAGAATGTACCCCAAGAACAGGGGGCAATTCTTTAAGCATGATGAATTGTTCTCTTGAGAAAGTAAGTGAGTTATATATATATACCTTTTGTTTAAAGTTGCTGATTTTTTGTTACCGATGATGAAGATGAGTTTAGTTGACAGCTCCTTTAGATTGTACCTGAAATGTTAAGGGTATCTTGTAATTTGTTTGTATTACTACCAATACCAAAGACAGACGATATTGTTTAATCACATTATAAATTTTTTTTTTTTTTTTTTTTTTTTTTTTTTTTTTTTTTTTTTTTTGGTGCCTTTTTATAGTCCAAAGAGTTAGCAATGTTTTTTGGCTCGAGTAATTGAAGTCATCATTCTTGACAAAATTCCTAGTAAAATTCCTGTTCACTCCCAAGAATTAGCAGGCTATTGCTGAAATACCACAATATTAAGTGACCTAATGCAGTGTATGCTATGGTGAGGTTTCAATAGACATCAGAAAAATTCTTCTTTGTCAACTTCTTCTCATTTCTTTTGGGCCCGGTTAGATGGATTGATTGCAAATTTAAGAAATTAGATGACATTATAAAGTAAAATTGTTTGTTGAAGTATTACAATTTATATATGCCAAGATTTAGACAAAAAAACCAATGGAATTCAAATAATTTCTTTCAGATGTAGTCATTTCAAATGTACCACATCTAATTATTTCAAACACCACGCCCGTGGGCCTTTGAGCTCGACCTATTGGCACAGTCTTGATTTAGGCCTGACTTTAATCCACTAGGTCTTTAAATTCAGGTCAGCTTCTCTCAAGTGGGTCTCAAGGAAAATTCAGGAATAAACACCTTAAGAGTAGATTTTGCCCCTCAAAGACGATGTCTCAGTGCATTGTCATCATTTCATATTATGTGAAGAATTTGGTTTGATGGCCCCTTTTTGCAAATTAAGAGCTATGAATTTTCCACATTATCAACAAATGAATTCACAAAATCAATACACCAATCAAAACAATTAAACTACAAGATAAAGCATCTCCAACAGTCTCTTCAACAGCTTGAAATTATAAAATCGGTGAGCCACATCAGAAAAACTCTCTCCAACATCCTATTCAACCTCAGTCATCAAAGTTGCAACCTCTTTCTCTCTCTTTAGGATGGTAAGTTGACTTTGGCTCTTCAAACATTTAATTTTACTTTGGAAAAACAAAACCTACATTGAAAATGTTAAAACATGCATTTTTTCTTTTCATATAATAATACATAGACATTTTTCACATGTTTTCGTATTTTTCATATTTTTTAATGGTATTTCATTAATTGAATTGAAGAGTATGTTGTCGTCTCTCTCTCATCTCAAACCCTCAATTCTCCTTTCTCTTTAAGCAAGGCGTGGTAGGGGAGGGGGAGGAGGCCACTCCTCCTCCTCCTCCTCCTCCTCCTCCTCCTTTTCCTCCTTTCTCTTCCTTTCTGAATCTCTCATTCTCCTAACTTTCTACTCTGCTTGTGGGGAAAAACTTGACTGGATTGTGGAGAAGGTGGAGTTTAGGGGGTGGGAAGTTTAAATCTGTATCTAGATCTACATGGATCTTGGATTTTCTAGCTAGATATGTTTGGATCTTGGGTTTGTTGGTTGTTTTTTGTGTGTTCTTATTCTAGGTACTTGGTTTGGCTGTGACAGTAGCGGTAGTGGCAGCATCAATGACATCGACGATGACGGCTATTTGGGGCTTCTTTTCGAGTCTGCCTTCTTTCAAGCCATAGTCATGGGTTGGAGTTGGCTGTTGCTAGTTTTTAGTTTATGTTTTGGTCCAATAAGTGCATCAACTCTGTTCAGTTTGATGCGTGGTTGTGGTTTCTCTTCGGGAGAATTTGGGTTTATAAGTTGCGTTATGGGTGATGTACTTGATTATTACAGATTTGAGGCGATTAAGCCCGACTGTCTGTGGCCCTGTGTGGCATTAAGTTGGCCATGCGTGGCTTTAAGTTGAGGTGTACCATATAAGTTTGATGTTGTGATTAGATCACTCTGTGTTTGGTGTAGCCCTTCGGGGGCATTTGTTCTAGCCCTTGAGGTTTTTGTATTTGTACTATAAAAAGCAAAAACTTCAGAGATTCCCAAGTAGAAAGCAAAGCTTTACCGTAGTTTGGAGGGTCCCCAGTGACTCTGTAGTGTAGAGTCGCGATCAATCCCAATGTGACTGACAACTCCCAGATATGCCTTAAAAAAAATTTGAAACCCTAATTGTTGTTTAGGTGTAAAAGTACTGTTCTTGACTTCTGTCCCTTTAATTTAATTTAATTTTTGTTTTGAAAAGGCTTCACAAAGGTTTACATATTGAAAAGACTAAAAACCCTTGAAAATGGATGGAAAATTGGATGATGTTAAGGTCAGATAACAAATCATGAATTTTGAAAACTTAAGGTGACATTTCACTTAAATTTTTCTTTAAGGTGACAAATTGATACTGATATATAAATTTAGGTGACATTTCTACAAAAATCCCATTTATAAATGCAATCTCCCTAGCGTTTGGCAAAAAAATAAAATAAAATAAAGAGTCTATTGGAGCAAAAATTATTCAAGTAGCAAATAAACATTTTCAAATTGCCACATAAGTCAATAAACTTTAATTTAAAGAGTTTAATTTGCTACTACTATTGGAAATGCTCTAACCATTTATGTGATGATCAAATCAAATCAAAGATTACGGACAATAATTGAAATAAAAGAAGATTAATGGCAACCCAAATAAATTAGGAAACTATATAGGCCTCTGAATTGAATTGTTCCCTTTGGGAATTAAAGATGCCTTTTATGATGACGATGACTTTTGTTGAGCAGCATTTTGGATCATGCAGATCTAGTCATAATACATGTAAATAAAATAAAATAAAATCTCAAATTACCAAAAATATTCCCACACACAACACAACACAATTGCAAGTGACATGGAATTCATCAAATATAATTTGAGATTTGAGACCATTGGGGTCCACTGAATAATAAAGATTTGGCGAAGCCTGATGACTCTGTGTAGATGACTTTCTTGTTTACCAGCCAAAACTACACATTGCAAACACATATATGAAAAGTTGATGAAGAGGTGACGAAGTGTTGCAATCAAATTAAACAATGTTAGTGTAGATTTCAAAGTCACCAAAACTTTCTGCAATATTGTCATGCAGATTACCTACAACTAATATGTGAGATAAGAATCAAGAATTCATGTACCAATGTCAAATGCGTTATAATGTAAAAGAAAAAACAATTCAAAAGATAAAAATATCTCAAAGTTGAAAAAGGAAAAAAATTCTACAACATATTCACAATATGAAGAAAGAAATGAATTCAAAACAAAAGGAAAGAAATTACAAGAACTTAACAAATAAAGAGAAGATTTCCTCACTTGATTTTGTAGCTAATATGGTAGCTATTAATTTAGGAAAGATGGGATATGTTTATTCAAATCCTTCTAATTTGATTTTGTATTTTTCTTTTTGGGTTATACATAGAACTGGTTTTGATATCTATGGATATAAGATCTGCCGAGGATTTTCTTTGTAAATTTGTTTCATATTTTAAAAAAATTAATTGGTAGCAAATCTGGTAATGCAAAATGCATTGAATCATGTATGAAACTTGAAAGGATGGATTTGCAATGTGACATGGAACATGTAATTTTGACACATTGCAACCATGCAATGCAACATAAAAGCCTTTAGTGTATATACATATGGTCAAGCCAATGGAAGCCACCAAGTGGAATTGCAGTGCACAACTTCTTATGTAATTGAATACCAACAGTCTCTTTAATTGAAAGAAACAATCTTATTGAAAATTGTTGCTCTCTTGTGCATGTTTAAATAGGCACAAACTTTCCAAGCAGAGCAGAGCAGAGGGTCTTGCATTGCATTGAATTGCACCAGTCCTCTGCATCACCTGCAAAACTGAGAGATTTTAATTTCCAAGAATTTGAGCAGAGAAAGTGCATAAAACCAGTAAGTGCTCTCATTTCAATTGAAATGCTGTATTTCTATAGCCAATTTCAATCACCACTTACATCAACCTCAGTTTCTTGAACATATATTTCAATTATTTTTTCAAAAATTGGAGCAATCTAGCCATCAAGTTTCTTAATTTATGATCTGGGCAAGTTCCATTTTCTCTATATTTATTTGGTTTCAGGCAAGGAAATTAAAAGAAGAAATAAAATGGAAGGAATAGAGAAAGCCAAAGGGTCTTCCACAGAAATATACCATAGCTTGAGCAGAAGAAGAAGCAGAAGCAGGGGGGTGAGCATGGAGGATGTGGTTTTAAGCACCACGCCCTCTCGACGAAACATTCGAATAGATGAAGACGAAGAAGCTCTGATATGGGCAGCCATTGAGAAATTGCCAACATATAATCGGTTAAGAACAAGCATCATCAAGTCCTTCGTCGAAACCGATGATGATGATGCTCAAGGAAATAAGACCAACAAAGTCATACATAAGGAAGTGGACGTTCTGAAGCTCAACATAACCGACCGTCAAACATTTATTGACACCACTTTTAAGATTGCAGAAGAAGATAATGAGAGGTTCTTGAAAATGATCAGAAGTAGAATTGATAAGTAAGTTCTTGTTCTGTATCTCTTAAGTTCTTGTTCTTGTTCTAAACTGAATATTTTAGGTTTTGTTACAATCTTTTTAGGCGGCTAAAAGATTAGTGTCATAGTAATTTTTGCATGTTCGGATAAACCACGTGGCTGATTTACCATCCAATAGACATGGAACATGTGGAAATATTGTTCATTTCGGCCAAATGATAGTTTTTGGTCTCTGTGGTTTGGCCGAAGTTCTACTTTGGTACGTGCAATTTCAACTTTTCGCGATTTTAGGCCACTAGCTTACTAGAACAACGACTTAATTTCGTTAAAAAAAAATTCGATATGTGTTTTCCCTTTACCCTAATAAACTTTTGCGTAA